GGCAGCGCGTCTCGAGCGATTGGTATCCGAGGGGCAACTGATCGATGGAGTAACCCGACTCTCTGAGGTCACCGTCGACGGGCTGCCGCTGGAGACCTATCTGCAAGCCCTCTCCGGCATCCGCAGGGCGGTGGGTTTGCAACCTTAACGCCGCCTGATGGTTGGTTTTCTCATTTCGACGGCCTACCGCTTCCTTGTCGATAATTTGCCACTGCGCTAAAATCACATTCGCGCTGGCTCTCCCCCCGTGGCTCCCCTTTAGGTAATCCCCTCATGAATGTCTTGATTGTTGGAAACGGTGGCCGAGAACACGCGCTGGCATGGAAGCTGAATCAAAGCCCTCATGTTTCGAAGGTGTTCATAGCCCCGGGCAACGCCGGTACGGCGAGATGTGGCGTGAACGTCGATGCGGCGATGGACGACTTCCCCCGTCTGATCAAGTTCGCCCAACAGAACGACGTGGGGCTGACCGTCATCGGACCTGAGGCCCCCCTGGCAGCGGGCATCGTCGATGCTTTCCAAGAGGCGGGACTGCGCGTGTTCGGCCCGACGAAGGCCGCCGCAGAACTGGAGGCCAGCAAAGTCTTCTGCAAAAACCTGCTGCGCCATGCCGATGTTCCCTCGGCCGAGTTCCGCGTGTTCCGCGACGCAGAGAACGCGATTACCTACCTCAAAGATCGCGAGGAAGTCTCGCTGGTGGTAAAAGCCGACGGGCTGGCCGCAGGCAAAGGCGTGATTGTCTGTGACGATCGCGAACAGGCTATCGACGCGGTGAAGCGAATCGCGACCGATAAAGAGTTCGGCATCGCCGGCAATCAACTCATCATCGAAGAACGACTGGTAGGCCAAGAAGTTAGCGTTCTGGCTATCACAGACGGACGAACCATCGTCACGCTGGCTCCGGCCCAAGATCACAAACGGGCGGGTGATGGTGACACCGGGCCTAACACCGGAGGGATGGGGGCCTATTCGCCTACCCCGTTGGTGAACGATGAATTAATGGGGCAAATCGAAGAGAACATCCTCGTGCCAACCGTGCACGCCATGAAACGCGGCCGACGCCCCTTCCGCGGCGTGCTGTATGCCGGGCTGATGCTTACCGACCGCGGCCCCAAGGTGTTGGAATACAACGTTCGCTTTGGCGACCCTGAATGCCAGCCAATCTTAATGCGGCTCAAGAGTGACCTGTTCGAGATTCTCGACGCGGCCGTGGATCAGCGTTTGGATGAAATCTCGCCGCTGGAGTGGGATCCTCGTCCCGCGGTATGCGTTGTGATGGCCAGCGCCGGTTACCCGGGCGGTTATGAACGAGGGTTGCCGATTCGGGGGCTCGACGAAGCGGCCAAGTTGGACAACGTGGAGGTCTTCCACGCAGGCACCACCGTCGTCTCCGGCGAAGTCGTAACCAACGGCGGTCGCGTGCTGGGGGCCACGGCGCTGGGCAAGAACATCTCCGACGCCAAGCTCAACGCCTATTCGGCTGTGAAGCAAATCCGCTGGCCGGGAGCGTGGTGCCGTAAGGACATCTCGGACAAAGCGTTGAAGATGTAGGGATGCATCTCGCTTCCTTGCGGCGCCCCCCTACTCTTCGTCCAAAATTCGCTTCATATCCTCGATGTATTCGGGCGGAAAAATGGGGTCGAGGTCTTTCGACTCCGAAATTTCCGAACTGGCCGCCGGTTGCTCTGGCTGTTTTGGCTGCGGTGGCTTTTCGGCTGGTTCGTCGATAGGGGTGTCGCTGAATTGGGCCAGCCAGTACTTCACTTCGGCTTTGCTGGGCGAGCCCGAGGGTTTGCTGGCAGCGTTGGCTGGGCGGCGCTGTTTGCGGTCGCGGAGCAGTTGGGCGAACCAGCGATCGCTATCCACGGCTTGGGCTCTTCTTCGCCGGGCGGCCCGATGTAGCCGGTGATCGCTGGAGACAACCGTGAGGCGTCGTGGGGCGGACTCAACACGGATCAACTCTTCAATCACACGGTCGGCGTCGCCATCGCCTCGGGCGAAGCGCACCTGAATGTCACCGTGCTTGAACCGCGTGGCGACCAGTGGCGGAGCATCGGCCGCGTCGAACACCACGATGGTTTGTGCGGCGATCTTGGGTTCCAGCGACTCCACGAGGCAGTTCAGCAGTGCTTTCCTCGCTCGTTCGAGGCTCCCCGGGCCCACACCATGCCCCAGAATTCCGGCGGCGTGAATTAGGTTGTAGCCGTCGATGATCAGCCGCATGGCGTTGTTTCCCCTTCCAACCCAATCCTACCGGGGAAACGCAAAGGCATCCAAGTTGAACGTTGGGCACGCGGAACTGTCGCGTACTAGACACCCATGGCGACGTCGGAAACTGAGTATTTAACGCGGCCGTCGACGAGCACTTTGTCGGCCCGCCCGTGAAGGGTCCAACCGCCGAAGGGAGAGTTCGTGCTCTTGGAGTGGAATAGCTGAGGATCGACCGTCCACTCGACCTTGGGATCGATGATCGTGATATCGGCTTGCTTGCCGATTTGAAGCGTACCACGATCGATGCCCACGATTCGGGCCGGGTTGATCGTCATCTTGGCGATGGCCTCGGGCCAATCCAAGTGCCCTGGCTCAATGAGTTGCTTGATGACCAAGCCCAGGGCCGTCTCCAGCCCCACGATTCCGAAGGGGGCCCGATCCAACTCCTGCATCTTCTTCTCGCGGGCGTGCGGGGCGTGATCGGTGCAGATGACGTCGATGGTTCCGTCGACCAGCCCGGCGATGCAAGCCTCCACATCGCTGGCGGCCCGTAGCGGAGGGCTCATCTTGTAGTTCGAGTCGAAATGCCGCAGGCACTCGTCGGTAAGCGTGAAGTGATGCGGGCAAACTTCGGTGGTGACGCGGACCTTGCGGCGTTTCGCCCGGCGGATGGCTTCCACACTGCCGGCGGAGGAAACATGCATGATGTGCAACTTCCCGCCGGTGGCTTCGGCCAGAGCGATGTCGCGGCTGGTCATCACGTCTTCGGCGGCCGCGGGCATACCAGGCAGGCCCAACAGCATCGAAGTCTTGCCCTCGTGCATTACACCGCCGCGGGTGAGTTCGAGCACCTCAGCGTGATTGAGAATGGGGCGATCGAACATCAGGCAGTATTCGAACGCCCGACGCATCAGCTCGGCATCGTAGACAGGCGATCCGTCGTCGGTGAACGCCACGGCGCCGGCGTTGACCAACTGGCCGATTTCAGCCAACTGCTTGCCTTCGCGGTTTTTACTAACGCAGGCGGCGATGTAGACGTTGCAGTTATCCGCTCGGGCCGCCTGATGCTGGATGAACTCAACGGCTCCCTGCGAGTCGATCGGCGGTTCGGTATTGGGAATGCAGACAATGCTGGTGAACCCGCCGGCCAGTGCGGCTGCCGTGCCGGTTTCGATGGTTTCATCTTCCTCGCGGCCGGGCTCCCGCAGGTGAACGTGCATATCGATGAGCCCGGGCGAGACGATTTTGCCCTGCGCATCGATGATCGTGTCTTGGCCATTCGGGGAAACATCGTAGGCCGCGATGCGATCGTCTTCGATCAGCACGTTGGTCAAGCGATCCAGCTTTTGGCTCGGGTCGATGACTCGCCCGCCGGTGATGAGCGTTGTCGGCATTCGTGCAAACTCCCTGAATTTCGCCGGACTTACGAGACGCTGGAGACGAGCCACAGGGCCGCCATCCGCACGGCCAGTCCATTGCGTACTTGTTCCAAAATGACTGAATGCCGCCCGTCGGCCACATCCGGGGTGACTTCGACCCCACGATTAATCGGCCCGGGGGCCATGATTAGAATGTCGTCCTTCGCCCGTTCGAGGCGACGGGTGTTCATCGCATACAACAGGGCATACTCGCGAACCGACGGGAACGGTCGGGTGACTTGACGCTCGAACTGAATCCTGAGCAGGTTCAGCACGTCGCAGCGGGGCAAGATGGCGTCCAGGTCGTGGGAGACCTCCACGCCGGGAATCGATTCCCAATGTTTCGAGACCAGCGTGGAAGGTCCGCAGAGAATTACGTTGGCACCCAAACGGGTCAGCCCCCAAATGTTCGAGCGGGCCGTGCGGCTGTGGGCGATGTCTCCGACCAGGGCGACCGTTAGCCCAGCGATTTCGCCGCGCACTTCGCGGATGGTCATGATATCGAGCAGGCCCTGCGTTGGGTGCTCGTGCGGGCCATCGCCGGCGTTGACCACGGCACAGTCGAGGTTTTGCGAGAGCAAATGGGGCGTGCCGGGCGTGCGGTGGCGAACCACGACGACGTCGGTGCCCATGGCCTCGATGTTTTTGGCGGTGTCGATGAAGGTTTCGCCCTTCGACAGGCTGCTGCCGCTGGCCGAAAGGTCGAGCGTGAGCCCACCCAAGCGACGGGCCGCGAGCGAAAAGCTGGTCTTCGTTCGCGTTGAATCCTCGAAGAACAGATTCGAAATGGTCTTACCGGAGAGCAAGGGAGCCAGCTGCCCGGAGGCTTCCGAATCTTTAATCGTGGCGGCCGTATCGAGAATCGTGGTGATTTCTTCGGCAGAGAGGCTTTCGAGACCCAACAAATGGCGACGAGTCCAAGTGTCGGGAATCGTGCCTAAGTCGATCATGGCCGTGCTCATGTGTGATGTGTCTCCCGCGGCCGTTGGGGCGATCGACGGCGACTTTGCCGAGGGAACCGAACCAACGACGGATGGCCTCGAATTTCGTCGGGCAATTCTAACACTGAGCAATGCCGCTGCAAACCAGCAACTTGGCTTCGAAAATGATCCGGAGGGAAAACACCACAAAGAGCGCGACTTCGGTGGGGTGAACATGGAAGTCGAGCATTTGCCAGACAGTCGAGTCGACTTACTCCGAACTGTTAGACTGGACGATATGAGCGACGCTTTATCTGTTCACGTGCGGCTGGAACTAGGACCGCGATCCAAAGCGGCATTTGCGGCCGCCTTGAGTGCAGGGGAACCGCACGTTTTCGATAAACAGACTGAGTTGGACAACGAACATCCGTGGTTAGTGATTGCGGATGGGTCATCGGAGTACGCGGCACTGAATCGTGGAATTCCTCCCACGGCGGCCGTGATTGCAGTGGACGCCGATTGCCCAGCCGACGTGCGACTTCCGGTGGATGCGAGTTCTAGAGAAATCGAGATGGCCGTCGGGCTTTGTGCAGAGATTGCGCGGTTGCGGTTCGCCAATCACCGGCAAACCATCGCCACCTCGCAAGTTCGCCAGCTTGCGGAGACCGACCAGTTGACTGGCTTGCCGAATCGTCGGGCATGGACCGGCAATTTGGAGCAACGGTTGGCACAAGCCCGCCAAAGCGGGGAAGGCGTGAGTTTGGGCATCGTCGATCTCGATCGCTTCAAACGTGTGAACGACACCGCGGGACATCCGCAGGGTGACGAAGTGCTGAAAGCGACGGCCGCGGCACTGCAACGTGCCACGCGATCGGGCGACCTGCTGGCCCGACTGGGTGGTGATGAGTTCGCCGTAGTTCTGGGGCAACTCGCTGCCGATAACGCACCCGCGGTGTGGGAGCGAATTCGCGTTGCGGTGGCCGATGCAACCAATCGCGTTGCTGCGGAGCCGGTTACTTGCAGCATCGGCTTCGTATGGCTGGTTCCAGATGGAGCGACAGACTCTCCGACGTTGCTCGCCGCGGCCGATGCGGCATTGTTGGAAGCCAAACGGGCCGGGCGGAACTGCGTGGTGGCCGGCAGCTTGTGAACTACCGGGCCACACTCCATCGTTTCGAGAACAAGGTCGCCATGGTGACGAGCAGGCATGTGTTCACGATGGTGTAGAACAACATGAACGCCCCATACTCGGTCCAATTCCCCACCACGGCCCCGTCGACTAAATCCATCCCAGCTTCTCGGGAGAAGTTCAGCGGCACGGCAAATGCCGCCGTGAAGGGGCTGGCCACCGTGGACTGGGTAAGCACCGCCGCGGCTTCGCCTGCTTCGTAGAACGTGGTGGTGAAGAACTGCACCGCCACCGGACCGGCGAACAGGATGATGAGCACCAGGTAACTCGTCATCAGGCTGATTGACGTTTTCTTGAACAGGACCGAGGAAAACAGCGCGATGGTGGCCGTGGTAAGACATGTCATGTAGATGAGTGCGATGTAGGCCAGCAGTGATTGCCACGTGGGCCAGTACACATACACCATCAAGAATGCCAACAGCAGCGGCCAAATAAGAAAGCTGGTGAGCACCGTCGAGACGCGGAGGCCCGAAAAGAGCTTTCCGCTGAGAATCTGAAAGGGGCTCAGCGTGGTGGTCAGCAGCAGGTCCAACGTTTGGCGCTCACGTTCGCTGGTTACACTCCCAGCAGAGAATACAGGCCCCACCAGCACGTTGAACATCACGACATAGGAGATGTACCACCCCGCCAGCTCGGGCCGGAAATACAGAAAGATTCCCATCATGGGAATTGCAACCAACATGCTCACTTGAATGACGACCCTGAGCATGAGGGTGCCCTGAGCGAACAGTTCGCTGTGCATTTCCTTGTCGTACATGGGGTTCTGCCCGTCTTCGAGCAGATCGGTACGCTTGGCGGGAGCAAACAGCCGGTCGGGGAACTTGTCTCGCTGAATGACCAATCCCACGGCTTCCTGCATTTCGCGCTGCTCGTCGACTACGTCCTTCCCTTCGCTGCCCACATCGGGCGGGTGAAGTAAACGTCGGGCCGTAACCATGAACAAGGGGACGCAAACCAGGATCGTCATGATCGGCAGCACGAAGAATGCCAACCACAGACGAGCCGAGGTCGGAGCGGTGCCGAGTTGATACCAGGTGGTAGCTCCCACGATCGCCAGCGGAAGGATCAGCATGTAGGAAACCACAAGGGCGGCCGAAGTGCGCGCGAAGAACCCGCTGCAAGTGAGGCTGATCATGCCGAAGGTGGCGATCGAAAGAATGAGCACCACGTACGAAGCCAGCAACTCGTACAGCGACGTTCCACCCAACGGAAGACACAGCATGACGATGGGCAGGGAGCAGAAGATCAGTAACGCCAAGTGGCACAGAGAAGCGAAGAACTTGCCCAACAACACGGCCCCGGGCCGCAATGGGCTGGCCAACAGCATCTCGTAAGTTTGCCGTTCTTTTTCACCCGTGATTGAACCGGCCGCAAAACTGGGGGCCATCAGCGATGCCAGCAGATATTGCCCCAGGAAGAACAGGTTCATCAATCGCTGCGACTGGGCGGGGTTCGTCACATCGATCCGCTCCGACGGCCATTGCACATAGACCACGGCCGACAACAGCCCCAAGTAGGCCAACAGCAGAACGAACGCCCGTCCCATCCGCAGGTTCACCAGCAGTTCGCGTTGCAGCACTGGGTTGTCGCGAATGTACATCGTGGGTTCTCAGTCAGACGGGTTGCAGTTTGTGAGAGGTTGTGTGTGTTCGTTTGCTGTGTGTCGCGTTAAGAGACGAGCCCTTGGGTGACCATCATGAAAACGTCTTCCAGCGTGGGGTCTTTGTCGTTGAAAGAACGAACCCGAACGCCTTCGGCGAGTAGCCGCTCCAGGAGATTGGCCAGCACGGTGTCGTCGGCGGCCAGTTCCACGGTGAGGCGGTGATCGAATTGCTGGACGTCGAGCGTCTCGGGCAAGCTGCGCACCACCGTCATCGCGATGTCCATGCGGTCGAGCACTTTGATCTCGACGATGCGGTTCCGTTTGATCCGCCGGTAGACGTCGTCAATCGGACCGTGCATCAGCAACCGCCCGCGTTCGATGATGCCGATCGAAGTGCAACAGTCGGCCAGCTCGGTGAGAATGTGGCTCGAAATGAGAATCGTCTTCCCCATTTGGCGCAGTTCTTTCAGCAGGGCTTTCACTTCCAGGCGGGCGCGAGGATCCAACCCACTGGCAGGTTCATCGAGAATAAGCACCGGCGGGTCGTGCACCAGGGTTTTTGCCAAGCAGAGCCGCTGCTTCATACCGCGGGAAAGACCGTTGACGAAATCGTCTCTCTTATAGGTGAGGTCGAGCAGCTCGAGCACGTCGCCAATGACAGCGCGACGCTTTTGGCGAGGAATCTGGTAGGCGACGGCGAAGAAATCGAGGAACTCCCAAACCTTCATTCCGTCGTACACACCAAAGTTGTCGGGCATGTACCCGACGCTACGCCGTACCCCCAGAGGATCATTGACCACACTGTGCCCGTTGACTGTGCCGTCGCCCCGATCGGCCTTGAGCAACGTGGCCAGGAAGCGGATCGTAGTGCTTTTCCCGGCTCCGTTGGGGCCGATGAAGCCGAACATCTCGCCGGCCCCGATCGTGAGGTCGAGCCCTTCGACGGCAACCAGGTCGCCATAGGCTTTGGCAAATCCGCGGATTTCGATCATTTTCTACCGATTGCGTATAAGTTAAGAGCTGCCTGTCATTCTGTCCGAACGTTGCTTCAATTCGCTAAAGACCAAAAACACTTAGGGCCGGAGAGAGAACTCGTCTTCCTTCCACTCAAGTTCCGCCTGTTGGCGACTGACATTGTCTTTCTGGGGCTCGTTCAGCGGTTTGTAGTTTAAATTGGCCACGACCACCATCGTCGAACGGATTTGATCACTCTCCGGCGTGACATTCACACCAGCGATCGGCCCCTCATGAATGGCCACCAAGCGTGTTTCACCCGAGCGGACGGCGTCGGTCTCGGCCAGGTTCATGATCGCCAGCACATCCAGTTCCTCAGGATTGTTAGCTTCTTCCCCTCTTTTTGCCCTGAGAGCGATTTCTAACGCCTTCGAAGTTTTGAACGTCTGTGCTGCGAGTGTGGCGGTGCCGTCGCCGGGCAGTTCCGAAATCCAGCCAAAACGCCCACCGGCAATCACACCGACATTTCGTAAGTCGAGCCCCGTTTTGTTTTCGATTTGCCAGGCAAGGCCAACATCGCGGAGTTGGATCCCTCCGGCCAGGTCGATCATGCTTTCGGTTTCGATGATGCCCAGCGAGTTTGAAGAAACCGAGAACCCGGTGAGTTCCGCGGTGTTTCCACGGGTGAACTCGAGATTTCTCACGCGCTGACCTTGGAACATTCGCTCGCCAGCGGCCAAGGGTCTCGCCACAGACCCTGCATCGTCGAACTCGAACTGATAGTTCGTACCCAGTGAAGTGTAAAAAGCGGTGTAACGGCTGATGTGGGCCCGATCGTAGCCCGCTTGAATCTCGATGATGCCGATTTCCGTCTGCGCGCGTGCAAAGCCGATATTGAGTTGAGCCAGCTTCACCACCACCAGGGCGAAGATGAGCGTAATCACGGGAGCCGCAACCCAGGCCCACTCAACGCGACCCAACGCTTTGAACACGGCCCAGTTCAAGGGAACCAACACGATCAAATAGGCCGAGAGCATCCACATCACGAAGGATGCCCGCGGAACTTCGATCCCCGCCGCGGCAATGAGTGAATCGAGCACCAACCGTGCCACCCAATTCGATTCCTGCCAGCCAGCAACCCCCGGAAAGCCTTCTGACTGACTGAGCTGAGAATTCCCGAACCGAGTTTGGTCCGCTGGGTCATACGTGAGCGTCTCGCGGAAAGGTGCACCGCGTGAATCGTAGGTTTGAGCATCACGTGTAAACAGCCGAACCCGCGAATTTTCGCGGGGATCGAACACGTGCATGTAACCTGCTTCGGAATCCACGAAGTCGTTAGGCGGTCGATACCGTTTGCCCCAATTCACCGACAATGTGCCAAAGTCGTCGTGATAGAATGAACGGGGCTGTCGACGAAGAATCGTGGCATTGAAGAACCCATCGAAGTCGGGCCAGACCATCAGGTCTCTTTGGGCAATTGAAAAGGCGGTGGCCACGACCCGTCCTCGGCCCACCCGGCGTTCGACCACCATCGGCAGGTCGTCAATCTCCATCAAAATATCGGAGCCGGGTCGGGGGACCATTCGCTGAACCGGCCACGCCTCGGGTGACATCAATTCCAGCTTGCCCGTCTTCCAACTCTCATTAAAAGCTTGATTCACCTGCTTGGCCGGAAGATCGACAACTCCGTCGCCCTCGGCGGGAAGATAGTCGGATAAGAAACTACCTTGCAGCAGATCGAGCGTCTGGGGGCCGTTAATGATGAGTTGCCCGCCCCAGTGAATCCAATCGATAAGGGCGGTCTTCTGATCGGGCGTTAAACTCGCCGGGTCGATATCATCCCACAGCAGATATGCCACGGCGGTCGACGTAAGCAGATGGGACGGCAGGGCCAGGTTATTGTCGATCGCCGGCGTGATCACACGAAAGTGGGCTTCGTCCCCTTGCGGAAGAATCATGCCGGTCGGCGGGACGACACTGTCGAGAGCGCGAAGAAACTGAAACCGCGCCGGCTCGGGCGTTAACACGGTAAAAAAGAACTGATGCGCTGGCAGGCGAATCATCGGATTGATGCTGGGAACAGGCGCGTGGTTCGAAGATTTGTCTCTTAGAACGAATTCGAACGAGGGACGCTTCGGTCCAACCGGCGCGAAGACCGTGAGCGGGATCGATTTGATTTGGGATTTGGCTAGCACGACATCGCGAGAAGTTCCCAACGCGAAGGGAACCCCAGGCAACTGAACAGGCTCGACTTCCAACTCGCCTTGAAAGTCTTCGTAATTGGAAATCAACTGCTGCGAAGCTTCGATCCAATGGCCCGGCTTGATCTGCGGCACCGTGATCGCATGATCGGTCGGCCGCGTGCTCAGGGAGAGATACTCGAGATCGGGCTTGTCCCGCTTTTCTTTCTCTTCCTTTTTCGCTTTCGCGTCGTCATCTTCTGTAGACGCATCGGATCCGCAGCCGCTGATGAAGAGAGTGAATAAAACGACGGATACGAGGCTCCACCACCGAATGTGAAGAAGCTTACCATCACTCGCGTCTTGCAAGCTGGTTTTGGCGATGAGTGTCTGCGAAGGGGGCCGAGCGATCACCTGCTGCCCTCATTTCTCTGTTCCAGACCGGTGCGGTCTTCGTCGTGGGTCCACTCCACGACCAAGCGGCTATCCCGAGTGTAGAGTCTGACAACATTACTGGAAAGTAAACGGCCAACAGAAGAGGTTCCCGAGGTTTTTCTACCTCAGGCTAGCCTAGCGGTGGTCGAAGCGTTGTCGCAGCCGGTCATACTCCTCCGGGGTGTTCATTTCGGCCAGCATGCCGGCGTCGTCGATCGCCACTTCCCGCGGTGGGTGCTCCACCAGTAGGCGATTCACCCCCTCATTATCCGGCAATTCATCGATCGCAGCAGCCAGCGGCCAGGGGAACAGCACGGGATGGCCACGGCGGCCCTCGCTGGTCGGCACCAACGGATGCGGATTGGCCGGATCGTGCGTCGCAAGCAACGCGTCGATCCAGCGGGCGTCGAGCGTGGGGAAGTCGGCCGGAGCGAGCAGCCACACATCGCGCGGTTGCGGTGACCAGCGACGGACGATTTCACTCAGCGCACAGCGAATGGAGGCTTTCATATCGGGCGGAGCGGCGGCCCGAACCACTTCGCATTCGTACTTCGCAACGAGAGTGGCCAGTTCGGCATTCTCTTGATCGACGACGATCACCACATGATCGACCTGGCTGGATTTCCAGGCGGCCAGCACCGTCTCAATCACGGTACTCTGCCCCCAGGGAAGCAGTAACTTGGGGCGGCCCATGCGGCGGCTTTTGCCTGCGGCCGGAATCACCGCGAAGCTGGAAAAGCTCGACCCGGCGGGGCTCACTTCACCACGTCCAGGGTAACCGCCGGCAATCGGCCAACAACTTCGCCGCCGCGGTTTCGGTGAGCGATCAACTCAGCCACGATGCTGATGGCGATCTCGCTGACGGTTTGCGAACCGATGTCGAGCCCGATGGGAGCGTAGACCTGACGCAGGGCATCAGGCGAGATGCCCTCGTTGAGCAAGTCGTCGAAAATCATTTTGATTTTCCGCTTACTGCCGATCATGCCGACATAACGGGCGCCGCGTTCGGCCAAGTGATAGAGGGCTTCTTCGTCGTGGTTGTGCCCACGCGTAACGATAAGGCAATAGGTCGAAGAAGTGATCTCCAAATCTGGCAGCACCTTCGACACATCGCCAGTGATGCGACGTTCGGCGGTGGGGAACCGTTCTTCGGAGACAATGTCGGCCCGATCGTCGACGACCCAAACATTGAAGCCGACACCGTCGGCGAGTTGTGCGACCGCTTGGCCGACGTGCCCGCCGCCGACGATCACCAGCCGGCACCTTGGCAGCAGCGGTAAGTATGCCACCCCGTGGCTAGCCAACGGGCGGGGGCGTTGCGAAATGTCGGGCATCCGCGACAGAACCGCTTCTGGAGCGACGCCGTCTTGCAGTTCAGCCCGACAGTGGGCGATGAGCGTTCCGTCTTCGGCGAAAAGGTAATTACTGGGGGCCGGCAATCCCGTGGCTTCGCTGTCGAACACGACCGCTTCGATCGCGCCGGTGTCGCTCTCGAACTGTCGGGCGACTTCCAGGATGTAATCGGCATCGCTCTCGGGGCCGAAGGGCTCGAGGGCAATCTTCATCCGCCCGCCGCAAATCAGCCCATCGTCCCAGCCGTAGTCGCTATCGAGTTGGAAGGTGGCGATCTCAGGCGAACCACCTGCAGCGATCTCGAGTGCCCGGCGTTTCACTTCCGCTTCGACACATCCGCCACCGAGCGTTCCAGCCTGCGATCCGTCGGCATAGACCAACATCGTCGCCCCCGGCTTTTGCGGCGTCGATCCGCGCGTTTCGACCAAGCGACACAACACGAACGGCCGCCCCGCGGCTACCGATTCACGAACCTGCTGCCAAACTTCGCGCATATGTTTATCTGCCAAGAGAGGAAGTGGACCTACTTCAGCTTAGCCCTGCGGAAGGGGTGAGACAATTGGGGGAGTATCGTGCGAACCCAACAAGTCGATCGGGCAGAGAGCATGATTCGCGCTCTGTGGGGAATGCCCTCTGTGGCATCCGTGAATTTCCGTGGTGCTCGGAACGCCACGGAGGGCGTTCCCTACAGGAAAACGCGGATAGAACAATAACAACCGGTTGCTCTATGCCGGCTTAAGAATCTGCAGCCGGGTCGCCTTGACTAGTGACTTTACCTGCGAGCGGTATTCGTTCATGTGGGGGGCGATGAGGTGAGCCTCGAGGGCGGAGACACTTTCCCATTTCTCCATCACGACCACGAAATCCTCGCGGGCTTCTGGCTGGGCGGGGATGGCGGTCTCTTGGTCGATGGCCGGGGTGTATTCGAGGCAGCCCTTCTCAGCGTGCACTTTGGGCATCACCTGGCGGAAGGCTTCGAGAAACTCCTCGCGTTTGCCTTCGGCCAACTCGATGGTGGCGACAACGTAGATCATGGAATGATTCTCCTGGTTGTGGTTTGTGTGATTGGTCAGGCCGGCGACGGGGTATCGATTCGCACGTGCTCGACGGTGTACTGCTCGAGTAGTTCCAAGTCGGGTTCGGCCCCTGTGCCGGGCGATTGGGGGGCTTCGACGCAGGGCACCCCGTTCTCGTCCCGCACGAGTTCAACCGCGGGCCGGCCCAGATCGGTGTGAAAGAAGCGGCTCGAAGGGAAGATGTCGGCCGGGTACGTGAAGTTATCGAGCATGGCCAACGCCACGCAGAGCCGCGAACCGACGGCGCTTTCCAACATCCCGCCAACCCAACACGGCACATTCGCTTCTTGGCACGCATCGTGAATCGCCCGGGCAACGGTGAGCCCACCGACGCGGCCGGGCTTGATGTTCACGTACTTGCAACTACCCAGGTCTAAGGCAACTTGCGCCCGTTCGAGCGAGTAGATGCTCTCGTCGAGGCAAATCGGGGTGCGAATTTCGTTTTGCAGGCGAGCATGATCGATGAGGTCGTCGTAGCCCAACGGTTGTTCGATCATCGCCAGGTTGAAGTCGTCGAGACGGTAGAACATGTCGAGGTGTTCTACGGTGAAGGCCGCATTGCAATCGATGTGGATCGTCTGGGTGGGAAACTCCTGCCGCACAGCTCGCAGCATGGTCAGGTCCCAGCCGGGGCGAAACTTGAGCTTCACGCGGGGGAAACCGTCTTCAAACGCTTTGCCCACGGCCGCGATGAGTTCATCGATTGAGTCCATCACTCCGAAGTCGGCCCCCACCGGCACCCGATCGCGAGTCGCCCCCAACAGGCGATGCAGGGGTTGGCCCGTGCTTTGGGCTTTCAACACCCACCAGGCCGAGTCGAGCGCCGCCTTGGCGAAGCTATTGCCCTTGAAGTGAGAGAGCCGGGACTGCAGGTCTTCTCCGCTTTCGACCCATTGGCCGATCAGCGGAGCGGCCAACCACCGTTTGAGGCAGGCGAACACGCCGCCGGCCCACTCGGGGCTGTAACAGGGAGCGGCCAAAGGGCACGACTCGCCCCAGGCCGATTGATCGCCGCTGTGCATACGGACCAGAACCGATTCGACCACGGCATCTTCACCATACGCGGTGCGCCACGGAGAGATGAGCGGCATCGCCACGTGGTAAAGATCGATCGCGTCGATTCGCATGGAGTGAACTTTCGACCGCAGCAGGCTGGTGGATCTCTCGCGTTAAGTGCCTGCCGACTTGCCGCGTTGCTCGGTGATTTCGATGGCCTTCAGCAGCCCGCGGGCTTTGTTGAGCGTTTCCTGATACTCGTGGGCCGGAACACTGTCGGCCACGATCCCGGCACCGGCCTGAACATAGGCTTTGCCGTCTTGCACGACGATGGTCCGCAGGGCAATGCAAGTGTCCATGTTACCGCAAAAATCGATGTAGCCCACCGCTCCGGCGTAAGGGCCCCGGCGGTGCGGTTCCACTTCGTCGATGATTTCCATCGCCCGCACTTTCGGTGCGCCTGAAACCGTGCCCGCAGGAAGGCAAGCCCGCAGGGCATCGAATGCGCTGGTGCCTTCAGTCAAGGTGCCCTCGACATTGGAAGAGATGTGCATCACATGGCTGTAGCGTTCGATACACATCACGTCGGTCAACTCAACACTGCCGTATTGGGCGACCCGACCAACATCGTTGCGTCCCAGGTCAACCAGCATCACATGTTCGGCTCTTTCCTTGGGGTCGGCCAGCAGTTCTTCGGCCAATCGTCGGTCCTCGGGTTCGGTGGCACCCCGGGGTCTTGTTCCGGCCAACGGTCGTACAGTGACCACCCCATCGACCACACGGACCATCACCTCGGGTGAACTACCGACCAGGGTGACTGAGGGACTGCGAAGATAGAACATGAACGGGCTGGGGTTCACCACGCGAAGCGTGCGATAGATTTCCAGTGGATCGGCCGTGAGGGCCATTTCCAGCCGCTGACTGATCACGACCTGAAAGATGTCGCCGGCCCGAATGTACTCGACGCACTTCTCGACGGCGGCTTCAAAGTCTTTCTGGGTAAAGTTCGAGCGGTACTCGATCTCCGGCACGCCCTGGGTGTCGATATCGCTGGTCTGCAATGAGGTGGACGGCTCGCTGAGTTGATCGACGAGTTCGTCAACTCGCTTGCAGGCCTTCTCGTAGGCCTTCTTCGGGTCGACACCCTCTTCGTCTAGTCGGGCCATCACCACGACGACCAGGGTTTTGTTCACATGGTCGAACACCACCATGCGGTCGTAAAAGGCGAATGCAAAGTCGGGCAGATTCCGGTCGTCTTCGGGGGCGTTGGGAAGATTTTCGACGTAGCGGACGCTGTCGTAGGCCGCGTAACCAATGGCCCCGCTACAGAACGGGGGCAAATCTTCGAATCGGGCTGCCTGGTATTCTTCGACCCTGCGTTGGAGTTCTTTCAGCGGGTCGTCGCTCTTGAATTTCTCGGTCTTACCGGCGGATCGGATCACAACCTCGTCGCGGTAGGCCTCCACTTCCATGAAGGGGTCGGCCGTGAGGAAGCTGTAGCGGCCGACCTTTTCCCCTCCGATGACGCTCTCGAATAGACAACCGCAGGAGCCGGTATCGATCTTCGCAAACGCACTGACGGGGGTCAGAGTGTCGCAGAGCATGCGGCGGTAAACCGGCACGAACTTCGCATGAGCGGCTTTTTGCCGGAAGGTCTCATAATCGGGCGAATGTTGCATCGGTTCGTGTGGGCAGTGTTCTGGCGTGTGGGGATGGAAGGATTGATGCCGGGGGGCGCCTGCAAGCAACGCCCGTGGCCTAGGACAGCGGCGCTGGCCGAGAGGTTCGATTCATCCGAAAGCGAACGGAACGACCATGTTGCGGCTACCAATCGTAGAAACTTCCCCCCATTTGCGATACTGCCTACTGGTCCGGCAGACTGATACTTGCACGTGTGGCTTGCATCCGGCCCGACCAACTCAGGACGTGCATGACAAGCCCGAGTAGGCACCCTGCGACGGTCCCAGCGAAGCCGTCTCGCACGGCAGTGCTCTGACGATGAGCCGCGCGCATTTCCTTTTATTTAGCAACTTTACGACGATGGCGCGGCCGGTGGCTCACCTTGACAGTATGGGGGGCATTGTTAGAATCCCCTCACCGTTGCCCGCAGTTCGCGGCCGGCTAAGATTGATCTCAGAGGCCTCCAATTCTTTGTCGGGCCGCTCGCGATTTTTGGCCAAGAATTGGCCTCCTCTGGCGTGTTTCCTGGAACGTAAACCATGAAGTGCCAAAAGTGTGACCGACCAGCGACGTTCCACATCACCGAACTGGCGGGTGGGACTCCGCAGGAGCTGCATCTCTGCGAAGAGCACGCACATACATACTTGAAGCAGCCCGAGGAAACCGAAGATTCGGCTTCCAGCCTGACCGATATGCTGGCAGAAAAGCTGGCCGGCGTGGGCCAGACGGCCGAAGAATTGGCGCGGCTCGACCAACAGTCGTGCCCCATCTGTGGAATCACGTTCTACGAGTTCCGCAATCAGGGCCGCCTGGGCTGCCCGCACGATTACGTCTGCTTCGAGCAGCAATTGGAGCCGCTGATCTTGAACATCCACGGCGAAACCCAACATAAGGGGAAGCGCCCCAAGAGTTCGAAGACCGATTCCGATCAGCAAACCAAACTGATTCGGCTACGGCGCGAGATGCGTGAGGCTGTCGAGGAAGAAAACTACGAACGTGCCTCGGACCTGCGTGACGAAATCCGATCAATCGAGGAGGGAACCGGTCGCTGACGCTCAATGAATTGCACGCCGCGACGAAGATACCCCTGCCGCCGATGCCCTGCCGGCTGTTTCGCAGCCCTCGCAGCAAGCTCACCCGGACAGGTGCCATTCGCCGCGATTCTCCAGCGTGCTAACATGGACGGATTAGGGTGCTTCTTACTAGGCACCTAGACGGTTGCGGAACTAAACATGGCATTTGAAGACCTGGTAATCAAAAGTGGCGAATGGCTGAAGGGCTCTGGCCCCGAGTCGGATATCGTCATTAGCACCCGCATCCGCCTTGCCCGCAACCTGGCGAACTTTCCCTTCATTAGCCGTGCCGATGCCAACGACCGGCAGGAAATCGATCGCACCCTTCGCGAGCGGGTGATCAAAGACCGAGTAGCGGGCGACCTTACGTACACCGAAGTCGACAAGCTCGAATCACTCGATCGGCAGTTCCTCGTCGAGCGACAACTAATCAGCCGCGAACATGCCGAAGCGACTGGCGTTCGCTCGGTGGCGGTCGATCAGGCCGAGCAAGTCAGCCTAATGATCAACGAAGAAGATCATCTTCGCATCCAAGTCATGCACAGCGGACTCGATCTCGAAGGCACCTGGGCCCAGATCGACCAAATCGACGACCGCATCGAAGAGCGAGTCACTTACGCCTTCAGCGATAAGCTCGGCTACCTCACGGCCTGTCCCACGAATGTTGGCACCGGAATGCGAGTGAGCGTGATGCTGCACTTGCCGGCTCTGGCCATTACGAAGCAAATCGAGAAAGTGTTTCGCTCGCTGCAAAAGATCAACCTTGCCGTGCGGGGCCTCTACGGCGAAGGCTCGCAAGCCATGGGCGATTTCTACCAGATCAGCAATCAACTCACGCTGGGCCGCAGCGAAGAAGAGTTGCTGGGCCAGGTTGGCGATGTCGTGCCACAAATTATCGAATACGAGCGGCACGCCCGCGAAGTGCTGGTACGTGAAAGCCAAGAGACGCTGCACGATCGGGTGAGCCGCGCTTACGGCATTCTTCGCAACGCCCAGACGATTAGCTCCGAAGAAACGATGCACTTACTGTCGCGGGTACGGATGGGTGTCAACTTAGAGCTGATCCCCGATCTGGAAATTCCCACAATCAACAAGCTGTTCATCCACACGCAGCCTGCCCATCTACAGAAGCTGCGAGGCGAAGAGCTCGACACCGCCGACCGCAATGTCGAGCGGGCCACCTATCTGCGTCGCCATCTCAACGGCGAAAACGGGGAAGCGGCCGAGCGGAACTAAGCGTTTCGTGCTCCAGTCCGGCCGTTTGTAGAGATCTCGAATCGCCCCCTGCCTTTACGGCGAAGTGCTCACCGCGAACCTTCTCGCCCGGTTGGCGTCTTGTTACGCACATCGATAGGTTCACGCCTCTTATACCGAGGATCACCATGCAGATTCGTCGCTACAAAGCGGAAGATATCGACGCCATCGTGCGGCTTTCGCTCCGGGCTTGGGCCCCGGTGTTTGTTTCCATCGAACAGGCGTTGGATGCCGACGTCTATCAAGCCATGCACCCCGACTGGCGAGTCGACCAGGAAGCGGCCGTCCGCGAGGTTTGTGGCGACAAGGAGATGCAGGTGTGGGTCGCAGATGCCGATGGCACTGTGGCGGGCTTTGTCGCCGCTCGTCATCGCCCTGATGATATCGGCGAGATCTATATGCTGGCCGTCGACCCCGACTTTCAGCAGCGGGGGTTCGCTACGACGCTCAATGAAACGGCCCTGAGTTGGATGAAGGAAGCCGGCATCTCGGTGGCGATGGTCGAAACCGGCGGCGATCCGGGGCATGCTCCCGCGCGTAGCACCTACGAAAGGAGCGGATTCCGGCTAATGCCTGTTGCCCGCTACTTCATGAAACTGTAACTCTGCCTGATCAAGCTCTCGCGACTTCGCGGCTGCGGCTACCCTTCTTTGTTCGACTTCAGCAGATCTTCGGCCTTCATCTTAGCCATGCCGAATTGCTCGGCGGTGAGTTGCAGAAACAGCGCGGTACCGTCGCTACAGGTTACGCCATCGGGGCTGAGCAACCGGCTTCGGGTCATCACCTTACGCCCCTTCACTTCTTCAACCCAAGCTTCGCAGGTGGAGATCGAGTCGATGGGGACCATGCTGCGGAAATTGATCGTCAACTGTGCGGCCACCACCATGTAACCGGCAACCCAGGCGGCGAAGCCCATCGATTCGTCAAGCAAAGCCGAAATGCTTCCGCCGTGCGCGTGGCCGGGCGGACCTTGCGAACCGTGGCCGAACCAGGCCTTGCACATCAGGCGATGATCTTCGGTCTGCACGAAGTACCGCACCCGAATCCGATCGCCTTCTGGATCGCCAGAGACGAACATCGGGCGGTATCCAAACGCCTCGCTGGCGATCAACTCTTCCCACCCCGGCTCAGGCACATACGCTAACAACTCACTGGCCGACGACATGACGACGCTCCTCCAACCTTCGTGCATATTCCGAAGCGTTCATCATACGATGAAATCGGGGGGAAGACAGCGGGACGACGTGCAGGAGTAATTAGTTGCCCAATTTGCCCCGGAGAACTGAGTCTCGAACAGGGGACATACTTGCAAAGGCTGTGTGCCAATCTCAAACCCACCAAGCAACTTCATGCAAGAATTTCGCCCGAGAACCATTCCAGCTCCAGAGTTCCTCATGACCATTGCCGAAGCCCCCGTGGAGATGGCTTTCGCTCACAATCACCGGCATCGCCTCCTTCGGCATTTGCTTCTTGTACTCGTCCCAACTCTCTGCCTCTCCTTCGCCCCATGAGCGGCGATGCATCTCGCGATGCTACACTTGCAGGTTGTAGACGTTGTACCAGTCCAAGGTATGCTTCGGATGCTCATAAACGCCGTACCATTGCTCCAATTCTACGTGCGTTGACTGCACTGGCCTCTCATCAGAGTGCAGATGCTCATCGACATGCACCACTCCCGCCAAAGGAAGAGAGTAAATCACTACATCCCGGCCTACTCTTGGCCCCCCTGAGGCCCAAATCTTCTTTGCACAGATCCACCGCTGGGCCCGTTGAAGGTTACTTAATTTGCTACTTGGGGGAATCGGATTCTGTCTCCGGCACTCTGCCTCAAATCTTCGCAGTCGAGGAAACCATGTCTTCCGAAGTTCCTCCGCCTTCTCTAGTGAGTCGATAAAGCCGTGAAAGCGTTCTACACCATCTCTCCAAACCATATCGCGATAGTATTCAGGGGCTTCCCCAATAGCTCTAAGGCGATCAACCACGTCGCGGGGCACTTCGAAATCATCGGGCGGGATCGCTGCTAACCGATAGCAGCAGATGGCACAAACGCCACCATTGCGGTCGGCAGTTCGTTGAAGTATTTGTCGCCCACAGTTTGTGCAGCGGGTCTTTTCTTCACCCATGGCAGTGTCCCCATCGCACCAGACCGCCGATGGCGCTTGCGGGAGATACTATTGCAATCCGCCGGCAAGTCGATGCGAGCTACCCAACCGCTCCCAAGAGTCTAGTGGGACAAGGCCAACTATGCACCCATCGGATGCCTGCATTCTAGCGAGCTGCAGAGAGACACCCTACTCGTCTTCTTCGCGGGCCAACTTTTTGCGCAGTTCGTCGATTACCTGCGAGGGGATGAAGGTGGCGAGTTCCTGATCGCTGGCCAGGGGGGCGATTTGCTTGATGAGCGAACTGGAGACGTGGGAGAACTCTTCGTCTGAGGCCAGGAACACGGTTTCGATGTTGGGGTCGAGATGGCGATTGGCCAACATCATGGTGAATTCGGCGGCGATGTCGGTCAGCGGACGAACACCACGCACCATCACGCGAGCCCCAGATTTGCGAACAAACCGCACGGCCAGTCCGCTGAATTTCTGCACTTCAACCGTGGGGATGTGTTCGGTGGTTCGTCTCACCAGCTCGACGCGTTCGTCGATGGTGAACATGGTCTTCTTACCGCCATGCACGGCCACACCAACGATCAGCCGGTCGACGAGCTTCGAGGCCCGTTCGATCACGTTCAAGTGCCCGAGCGTAATGGGGTCGAACGACCCGGTGTACACGGCCTGCCGCACATCGTGCTTAGTGCCCATCGCAATCCACTTCCCACAGATCGACCAACCCCAATTAGAAATGCGGACGCCACGCGACAGGTCAAAAGCCGCTAAAGCCCTCACCCATCATCGTGTCCGCGAATTTAATCATCGCCGGGGAAGGCACCCATTGCAAACATTCGACGAGGCGTCACGGTCGAAGTAGCCAGACGGAAGAAACCGCGAGCCATACAACCGTTACAAGTGGAACGCTGGCCCCATTCAATGTGCGGAGCCAAATGTAGAAGCCGGAATGTTGGTTCCTCCCCATTCGGCTAGTACCAACACAGTTGCAAACCAAACAGCATCAATCTAAAAGCCTTTGACGGATTCGCCGCTCTATAGATCAACCGGCATAGGACTTAAATACCTCGGCGAAGCGTTCGATATCGTCTTCGTTGTTGTAGGCATGAAGTGCGGCGCGGAGGCGGCCGGCGCGGACGCTGAGGACGATGCCTTGGTCCATGCAGTGTTGGCGGAGTTTTACGTGGCTGTGACCAGGGGTTTCGAAAGCGACGATACCGGAGCTTCGCTGCTCGCTGCGATCGCTGTGAACCACGGCGCCGAGTTGTTCGATCCGTTCGCAGAAACGATCGGTAATTTCGAGCACCCGTTGGGAGATCTTCTCCGGGCCATAACGGGCCAGAAGATCGACACTTGCCCCCAGCCCGAGCAGGCCGACCATGTTGTACGAGCCGCCCTCGTAACGTTGTGCTGAAGGTTTGAGTTCCAACTCAACACGCGTGTAATCGCCGGAGGAAACAACGCTGTTCCAGCCCACGCCCAAGGGTGTCAGGCGATCAAGCAGTTCGCGGCGGATGTAAAACACGCCGGCCCCCTCGGGACCCAACATCCACTTGTGCCCGTCGGCGGCCAAGAAATCGACCGGTGTTTGCTTCACGTCCAAGGGGAAGACGCCCAGCCCCTGAATCGCATCGAGGAACAACAACGCCCCTCGGCTGTGGGCTAGTTCGCAAAGTGCATCGACATCGTTTCGCCATCCTGAGGCGTAGCCCACCCAGCTAATCGTGACGATGCGGGTTCGGTCATCGCAGGCGGCCGCTACGGTATCGAGGTTGACCCGACCGTTCTCGGGCGACACACGGCGGGTTTCGACCCCCAGTCGGGCGAGGTTCATCCAGGGAAACTGATTCGACGGGAATTCATCATCAAGCGTCACCACATTGTCGCCGGGCTGCCAGGGGAAGCCTTCGGCCACGAGCGAGATGCCTTCGGTGGTGTTGCGAATGAGGGCGACTTCGTCTTCGTCGGCACCGATGAGTTTAGTGAGCCCGCCACGGAGCGACTCAAGCCCCGCCCGCCACTGGGGCCAGACCGGGTCGCCGCAATTGGTGGCCTCTTCAGCCCAGGCAACGATGGTCTTTCGCGCGACTTCGGGCAGCGGGGCGACGGCCGCGTGATCGAAATAGACCCAATTCTCCGTGACCGGCATTTCATGTCGAAGCTGCTCCCACCAGGGCGTCGATTGCGAATTTTCTTCCGTCATGGGTTCTCGAATGGGTTGCAAGAAATGGAAAACGATTGGTTACCGCTCGGCCTGAACTCGCAAGGGCCCCGAACGAATGTGGTTTTTTTCTGCCGCCTAAATTCGCCCGATCGTGCCTAGCTCCAGCAAGCCTAGCGCCTCGTGCGGAAGGCTCCAAGGGGTGCGATTACACGGCTTTTAGTGGTTAATTGTGGCGACCTTCGCAGGCCGGCAAGTTGACCCCAACGCTGGGAAGACCCTAAATTGCCGACTTGTGCCAAAGCGAACTATACTGAATAACTTGTCCGGAACAGAAACAAACGTGCAGGAGCGTTGGAGGCTCGATGCCGAAGGTGCTGACAATCTCGGGATTCGTGGTCGCGGTGCTGGTCCTTCTTATCTTCGGACTAGACCTGGCCTTAGGGATCCCCTTCAACAAGACCAGCATGATGATGGACATTGGTTTCGTCCTCTGCGCCATCGGTCTAGGCTACATGAGCTGGATGACCTTACGTCAGCAAGCCTGACGCCGCTCCCCTGCCCCGGGTTCGCACGGCCCGCATTCTCAAGGCCCACGCAATTGCCCACTGGGGCTTTACTCTGAGTGCTTCTGACCAATCGCCGTGGCCAAGTCTTGCATGGTGTGCACGGCGGCCTCAACCGCCGGTGGGTATCCGAGTTCGCGAAGTGTCTCAGAAGTAATTGGGCTGATGCTGGCCAATTGCGTCTTGTGTAAGTCCTCTCCGAACATGTCCACCAGCGAACGGGCGATGGCTGAGCTGGTCACCGTGATCCAATCGATTTCGCCGGCCGCCAGTCGCTTGGCCACCTCCTCATCGGGCTGCATAACGTCGCGGCTTTCATAAACGACAATCTCCTCGACGTGCCCCCCCGCCTCGGAAAGTCGCCGTACCATCACATCGCGCCCACGGCTGGCCCGAGCTAGAAGGTAGCGATCGCCGTCGGCTTCAACCAAAGCCTCAGCGAGTGCTTCGCCACGAAACTCCTCCGGCTGCAGGTCGGCCTTGAGATGATATTTCGCCAGCGTCTTCGCAGTGCCGGGGCCCACCACTGCGAGTTGCACGGCAGCGAGTGCGCGTAGATCTTTGCCCGATTCCAACAGCCTGGAAATCAGATGCTCGACTCCGTTGCTGCTGGAAAAGACGAGCCAATCGAATTCTTCGAGTCGAGACAGGGCCCGATCCACCTCCGAGTAATCGGCTATCGGTGCGATCTCAATGGTGGGCTGCGTGAGAACCTCGGCCCCCATGTGCTCGAGATTGAAGCAAAACTCGTCGGCCAGTTCCCGCGGGCGCGTGACGACGACACGAGCGCCCTGCAGTGGTTTATCGATGTAGGGAGCAATGCCGATCTCCTCGTTGGCCACCTCACCCACGATGGCAATCACCGGTGGGCGGATCTTGTCCTTCGTCCTGCGCTGGTCGAGCACGTCGGCCACGTCGGCCAATGCACAGCGACGCACGAGTTGGTTCGGCCACGAGCATCGCCGCACCAGGGCCACCGGAGTGTCGGGCCGCATGCCTCCTTCGATGAGACCCTTCGACCAGGTTCGGGCGGTGGTCACCCCCATGTAGAAGACCAATGTGCCGGGAAAGTGGGCCAGCTTACGGTAGTCGATCGGCGGACTGACCTTATCGCTGGCTTCGTGGCCGGTAATGAGTGCTACGGCCGAGGAATGTTCGCGATGCGTGAGCGGAATGCCCGCGTAACTGCCGGCGGCGAGCGAGGCCGTGATTCCTGGGACTATTGAGTACCCCACCGCGGCGGCGTCTAAAGCGTCGGTTTCTTCGCCAATTCGGGCAAAAATGCTGGGGTCGCCGCCTTTGAGTCGCACGACTTTTTTCCCCTGCCGTGCGTGATCGACCAGCATTTGGTTAATTTCGCCCTGGGGCACAATCGCCCCGCGTCCATGACGCCCCAGCGAGATGAGCTCGGCCTGGGGCCCGCAATATTGGAGGATTTGCGGATTCACCAGGGCGTCGTACAGCACCACATCGGCAAAGCGCAGGCACATGAAGCCCCGCATGGTTATCAGCGACGGATCGCCGGGGCCGGCACCTACCAGGTAAACGTATCCGGGGATATCCTCTGAGGGCGACGTCATGCGGGGCGTTTCTTTGCTGGGCAACTTCTTGGAGCAGTGCCAAGACGAAACCGTGGGTCATAAATGCCGCGGACAGCAGCGGTTAAGGTTTTGCAGCCTACCCCCGGTGGGTGTAGAGTGATAGTGTTAAAGATAAGGGGCGACGGTCGTTAAGGGCAATCGTCGCTCGGTGGGTTCGAGAGATCTTTGGAGTAGAAGACGGGCCAGTATGGCAGAAGAAAAGAAACCGCGGGAACCAATTTCCGCAGCAAAACGGCAGCAGCTTCAGAAGTGCTTCTTGCACGCCAACGGCATCGCCGCCAAAGGCGACTTCGACTATGCCAGCAAGCTGTACACCACTTGTGTCGTGGGAGACCCGGGCAACCTTAGCTATGCGCAGGGCTACATCGGCAACCTTCAGAAGAAATACAACAACAATAAGAAGGGCAGCCGTTTCGCAGGGGTCAAAGGTGCCAGCGCCAAAGGCCAAATCAAACGCGCCCAGATGCAAAAAGACTGGCCCGGAGTGATCAAAGCGGGACTCGGGATGCTGGAGCTGAACCCTTGGGATGGCCCCACGCTAACCGCCATGTCGAAGGCCTGCGAGGAAATGGAATACGACGAGTGCGAATTGCTGTACCTTCGCACCGCGCTCGACGCCAACATCAAAGACCCTGAAGTGAACCGCCTGTGCGGACGCGTGCTGGCCCGCCAGGAACAGTTCGACCAGGCGATCATCTGCTGGAGCCGTGTTCAGCAGGCCTTGCCCGATGACGAAGAAGCCAAACGGGCGATCGGCGATTTAACCGTCAATAAAACCATTCACCAGGGCGGGTACGAAGGGGCGGAATCGGCCAAAGACGTGCGTCACGGCGCGGGCGATAATGACGATGGCTCGCTTACCGGTTTGGTTCGCACGCCCGAGGAACAGCTCGAAAAGGCAATCTCGAAAGACCCGAACGATACTTCGAACTATCTGCAACTGGCCGACCTGCACTTGAGGAACGAGCGGCTCGAAGAGGCCGAGCAAATTCTCAAGAAGGCCATCGAGGTTTCCGGTGGTCAGGTCGATATCAGTGAACGGCTGGAAGACGTTCAGCTTCGGGCCCTCCGCGAGAAGATCGGTTCGGCCGAACGAGCCTTGAAGGCCGACCCCAGCGACGCTAACAAGAAGAAGTTGGCCCAATTGCGGGTCACCCTGAACAAGAAAGAGCTGGAAGTTTACCGCAGCCGCTCCGAGCGGTTTCCCACAAATCTGGGCCTGCGGTATGAATTGGGCTTACGTATGAAGCGGGCCCAAAAGTACAACGAAGCCATCAAAGAGCTGCAGGAAGCCCGGGGCGACCCCCGCCGAAAGGGCGATGTGCTGCTGGCACTGGGCGAATGTTTCCAGCAGATCAAGCAGTACAAGCTGGCCCTGAGCAACTACCAGGCGGCCGTAGAGGCCCTGACCGAACGGGAGCTGGAGCAGAAAAAGCTGGCAATTTACCGGGTTGCCCGGCTCGCTTGGGGGTTAAAAGACGTCGATACGGCCGAAAAATACGCCACCGAGCTGGCAGGCTACGATTTTAGCTATCGCGATACCTCAGAGCTTCTGGACAAAATCAGAAACTTTCGCGACAATGCGTAGCTTGGCTCTCCCACTGGGGGGAGCCTCTGCCGGCATGTTTACGTACACAGAAGTCTGAAAGAGTTCACTCGACGAATGCCAAATTCGAACAGCGCAAAGAAACGTCTCCGCCAAAGCTTCACGCGTCGCGATCGCAACCGTTCGGTACGAGCCGCCGTGCGTAACCAAGTGAAGAAGGTCCGCGTGGCCATCGCCAACGGAGAGGCTGAAGAAGCCGCAACTCAATTCCGCCTAGCCACCAAGAAGCTTGATCAAGCTGGCGCCAAGAAAGCGATTCATCCGAACGCGGCAGCCCGAACCAAGGCACGCTTGTCGAAACAGATTCGCGAACTGCAGTCGGCCAGCTAAACGGGCGATCCTGGATTCACGCTTTTCGCTTCATCCTGCGCATTGGTGTTGCGCGTGTGGGCGACCTCAACCAGGCAGCAAACGTAGCTGTTTAGTCGAGCACTTACGACTCATCCCGCCCAAGCGGCTTTTCTAAGAACAGTGTTGTGGCTTGGCCTTCCCAAGCACCAAAGCCCAGGCTGTGGTAAAGGCCGCGCGCCCGGTGGTTATCTTCCCGCACTTCCAGCGTGACTTTGCAGCAGCCGAGTGCTTCGGCCTTTTCACTTACGGCCATCAACAGCTTGCGGCCTACGCCCTTCCCTCGCATCTCGGGAAGCACTGCCAGGTCGTGTACATTGATCAGCGGCTTCGCTTTGAATGAGGAGAACCCAACGAAGCACACTGCCACGCCCACGGGGCGATCTTCGTCGAACGCAAGAAATACCAAGCTGGTTGGGTGCTGACGAAGCCCGGGAATCACTCGCTCGCGAATCTCGCTGCTCAAGGGGCGACCGATTCCCATTTCATCTTGAGCGTACGCGTCAAGCATCACCACGACGGCTGCAGAATGAAAAGGCTCACTGAGATTGGCCTCAATAATTTCAACGCTCATGACTACTACGGCTCCCTTCAATCTCCGCACACTGGAGAGCCTGAGCTGGCTCGCCGCAGCTAGTCGAACACGATAGAGCGGGCGTCGAACACGGGGCCTTCGACACAAGTGCGGCGATAATCCCACTCACCATCGGTGTCACGCACTTTGGCGACACAGCTAAAGCAGATGCCCATCCCGCAGGCCATGGGAGTTTCCAGCGAAACCTGGCAAGGGGTTTCAAACAGTTCGGTCACGTCGGCCACCGCCTGAAGCATCGGTTCGGGGCCACACGTGAGGACACGGACGCCGCTTTCCCGGTTCCCCAGAATTTCGGACAGCAAATCGGTCACCAGACCGTGATGCCCGGCCGATCCATCGTCGGTGCTGATGCGAACATCAACGCCAAGGTTGCGGAAATCTTCGACACCGGCCAACAGATCTGCCCGACGGGCCCCGTAGCAGAGCGTGACTTGCTTCGCCGCCGGGCAAGCTCGAGCCGGATCGCCAAACGATTGTTTGCCCAAGTACTCGGCCGCCACGGCCAGAAACGGGGTTTGTCCGATACCGCCGGCCACCATCACTAGGTGTTCCGTCGGCTGCGGTGTGAAACCGTTTCCCAGTGGGCCCCAAACCTCCAGCGGCTGCCCTGGCTGGCATTGGGCCAAGCGGGAGGTGAGCTTGCCCATCACCAGATAAACCACGTCGATCGCCCGGGGCTGGCCGGCATCGTCGTTGATCACTTCATACAGCGCCAGCGGACGCCCCAGCAGCGGGTCGTCGAAACCGGCCAGGCGGATCATGACGAACTGCCCAGGCAAAATGCGTCGTGCCGTCTCCGGGCATTCGAACCGCAGCCGGTAGGTGTCGTGAGCGATTCGTTCGTTCTGCTCGATGGTGGTGGTGAGCTGAATCGCCTGATCGGGAAAACAAGCTTCGTGCCCAGTGCTCATCGTCGCTTCGCTTTCGATTTACCGCCGCCTTTGGTTGGGCGTGATGTTGCTTTCTTTCGTCCCACGCCCGTTGGTTTGCCTTTCCGTCCGCCAGCAGCAGAAGCCTTATTGCGGCCCTTCCCCTTGGCCGGACGACCTCCGGGCGTTTTTGATTTTTTGGGACGTCCCTTGCCGCCCTTCTTTCCACCCGAGCCAGTTGAGGGGCGGCCGCCAGTGGAAGCACTATTCTTCCGTCCACTGCCTGCGGAGCCTTTCTTCCGCCCTGCCCCGGAGCCTGGAGCACCGGAGCGGGGTCGTTCCTCGGAACTAGCGGCACTCTTCTTCGCAGGACGTTTCCGTCGCCGAGCATCGCTGGGGGCGGCATCAGCAGCCGCGCGGTGAACCGAACGGCGGAGCATCGAGACTTCGCCGGCGTTGAGTTGGCGAAATTCGCTTGGTTGCAGGTCGCCCAAGGACAGGCCAGCGATGCGAACCCGACGAAGCTGCAACACCTTGTGCCCCACGCGAGCCAGCACGCGACGAATCTCGCGATTCCGGCCTTCGCGGAGGATCATCTGCAGCCGGGTGCTCTTGGGGCCGCGGTTCTTGATTTTCAGCCCCGCCACCTGGGCTAAGCCATCGGAAAGATAAACGCCCCGTTCGACTTCTTTCGCCTGGGCGGGCGAAAGATCGCCGGCCACGACCACGTCGTAGGTCTTCTCCACCTCGTATTGTGGATGGGTCAACCGTTGGGCGAGTTCTCCATCGTTGGTCACCAGAATGAGCCCTTCGCTGGACTTATCGAGCCGGCCCACGGTGAATAACCGCTGACCTTGCGCAGGCACCAGGTCGATCACTCGGGGGCGGCCGCTGGGGTCGCTGTTCGTCGAGACGATGCCCACCGGCTTGTTTACCGCGTAGTAGACAAGCTTGGGACGACGCAGACGGACCCCGTCGACGGCAATGTCCTGCTCTTGAGGATCAACACGCGTGCCTAATTCGGTGACGATCTCCCCGTCGACCGTAACACGACCGGCAACGATGTACTCCTCACACGCCCGGCGGCTGGCGATGCCCGCGGCGGCGAGGACCTTCTGCAATCGCTGGCCCTGGGCCGCGTCGCTTGGTTTTCCTGGGGGAGGGGCGTTCTTTTTACGTCGCTGAGCCATCGTGCGTGGTTAACCGAGAGAAGTGGAACGGTGTTCAACGCATCATCTTATCCGCCTGCAGGGTTCTCCATAACCCTCCACTTGCCAGCCTGTCTACCCGCGGCTGGAGATCGCATTGAGCCTAAGTTCAGCGGCAACTACAAGCTCCGGGATCCTGGAGCCCCACTTGGGTGTTGACCCGCTGACGAATCAAGACTACAAAAGCAGCTAAACATGTATGTCTTTAGCATATTTATCCCAACGAGCCCCCGATGCGGCTAACTACCCACACCGATTACGCACTGCGAACGCTGATGTATCTCGTCTCAGTCAAAGGGCGAACCACCGCCGCGCAGGTGGCCAAGCTGTACGGGATTTCTGCGAACTACATGTCCAAAGTGGTGAACCAGCTAGCCCGGCTGGGTTACGTCCGCAGCATTCGCGGGATTGGTGGCGGCATCGAACTCGCCCAACCCCCGGAAGAGATTCGGTTGGGCGAAGTAATCGAGGCCTTCGAAGGCAATATGCACCTGCTCGATTGCGTGGTGACTGACGACGTCTGCGCGATTCAGTCGTTCTGCAAACTCAAAGGAGCCCTGGCCGAAGCGGAGAAAGTTCAGCTCGACTACCTGAACAACGTCACGCTCGCCGACGTTGCCCCCACCAAACGCCAATTCAGCCGCCTTAATTCACCGGCGACCTAAGCCGTCGCCTTTGCCCTCCCGAAGTAACACCTACCTGAACCTCCCCCTTGTTTCCCCCTACCTCGAGAAAGGGAAATCGATGAAGCGATTCCATGTCATCGTGTTGAGTGTTGCCACCGCCGCACTGCTTTGTACGGCATTCTTTGTGGGTATCGCGCCCCTGGCGCACGCTGAAGACAAGCCTTCGAGCGAGCAGCCAGACAAGGCAGCCGTCGATCGGGCTCGCGAAACGGTAGAAATGCTCGACAACATCTACAAGCAAACCATCGTGCTGGTCACCGACAAGTACGTGCACGACGAAGCCGATTTTCCCGCAGGCAGTGCGGCTGTACTGCTTTTCAAAAACATCTCTGATTCTGGCTCACACAAAGTGCGATTGATCGATGCCTCGGGTGAACCCTACGAGCCGGAAAACGTCGCCAAAGACGATTTCGAAAAAGAAGCGATCAAACGCCTGAAGAAAGGGTCGAAAGGACTTGAAACCGTGGTTAGCGAAGGCGATGACCACTTTCTGCGTGTTGTCACTCCCGTGCCGGTGGTGATGGAAAAGTGCGTGATGTGCCATGCCCACTATGCCGACGCCAAGCCCGGCGAAGCAATCGGGGCAATCAGCTACACTGTGCCGATCAAGTAATTGTCGTGCCTGCAGGCTTTCAACGGCGACGCTACCTCGCAGGCAGTTTGCCTCTGCGAGGTAGCCGGTCGCCCGAATCACAAAGACCCGCTAACAGGTGCTTCAGAATGAACCACACAGAATTGATCGACGAATATGTCAACGGGCCCGACCTGGTCACGAAAGCCATCGCGGGACTGACTGCCGAACAACTAGACGCCAAGCCCGTGGCCGGAACCTGGTCTACACGTCAGGTGGTGTGCCATATCGCCGACTTCGAACCGGTATATGCCGACCGCATGAAACGCGTGATCGCTGAAGATGAACCGACGTTCTTTGGCGGAGACCCCGACGTGTTCGCCGCCCGACTGGCCTACGACCGGCGGGACATGGAAGAAGAGCTGCAACTCATCGCCGCCGTGCGATGTCATATGGCCCGCATTCTGCGGACGCTGGCGGAGTATGACTTTCAGCGAATCGGCAACCACTCCGTCGATGGCCCGATTTCGCTGGAGACCCTGCTGAGCCGCATCACCGGCCATATGCCACACCACATGCGTTTCATCGAGGAAAAACGCAAGGCACTGGGAGCGTGAGACGGCCCTGAGAGAGGCATCTCGCGGCGAACCATTGGGCTCGGCTTGCTCTACAGTTCTGCTTCGCTGGCCACTTCGGGTGGAGTGAAGTCGAAGTTGCGGCTCTGGCCGAAGAACTCCAACGGGTTCTCGTACACCACCTTGCGAATGAGTGACTCTTTGTGGCCGCGACGTCGCATGGCGAGAATGAAGTCGGGCACAGCAGTGGGCTTCGAGGGACCCCAGTCGCCGGCCGAGTTCACCATCAACCGTTCCGGGCCATACATCTCGATCATGTCACAAGCCCGCTCGGGCGTGCACTTCGACACCGGGTAAAGCGTCATCCCGGCCCAAAATCCGGCGTCCAAAACGGCGCGGATCGTGTGTTCTTCCACATGGTCAACGAGAACACGCGAGCGATCGATGCGTGAATCGTCGCACAGCATGTCGAGAATCATCCGGGTGCCGGTGTATTTGTCTTGCAGGTGCGGCGTGTGAATCAGAATCAACTCGTCGGTCTTCACGGCAAGATCGACGTGCTCCAGAAAAATGATCGATTCGTTGCGGGTGTTCTTGTTCAGCCCAATCTCGCCGATGCCCAGCACATTGGGGCAATCGAGGAACTCGGGGATCATGGCAATCACTTCGCGGGAGAGCGAAACGTTTTCGGCTTCTTTGGCGTTGATGCACAACCAGGTGAAGTGACGAATACCGTAGGCCTCGGCGCGTTTTGGCTCGACTTCAGTCAACTGACGGAAGTAGTCGCGGAATCCGTCGACCGTGCCACGATCGAAGCCGGCCCAGAACGCGGGTTCGCTGAGGGCCACGCAGCCCATTTTGGCCAACATCTCGTAATCGTCGGTCACACGGGAAACCATGTGAATGTGTGGGTCGACGTAGTACATCGTCTGTGCTGCTCCTCGGAGGCGGGATGGTTATCTCGAGGTGTCGAGGCTGTAGGTCTCGCGCCATTCCTCGTTATAAGGCAACGAGAAAATCAGTTGGATTTGCTCCGCCCGATCGGGTTGGGGCGATTGAAGCACTTCCAATGCCTGCCGGATCTTGGCCAGCCCCGGATCATCTTCAACCGTGCCCTCGGCGCGGTTCAGGCGGTCCAGGGTACCGGCGATTTCCAGCAGCTTGGCTCGAACACCCAATAACTCGGCATCCAAGACCGCCTTGGCGGCGATTTCACTCGTCATCGCGACAAATCCCCTGGAATCGACACAACTGGCTCCGTGCAACCGCATCTGACAGCGGCACTTAGGACTCAAGGCATCCTGCTATCTCTAGTTTGACCCCAAGGCGGGGGAAATCAAGCGGGCACGAACCACCAGCGAACCTGCGTAAACAAGGTAGTATTTTCTGATTGGGTTATAGTCGCCGGCTTTCCGCTGCCGATGACCTGATTGGAGTCTTCGTATATTCACTGCCACCAGGCTACGAACACAGAGCGGGCCAAGCTGTGACGACTGGGCTGAAAACCACCTTCGAGATCCTCTCTAAGACCAAGAACGAGGCCGCGGTGAACGTCCTCGTGCCGGCCCTCGAGTCGCCCCACCCCCAGATCCAGGAGCGGGCACTCCGTTCGATTCTCGATCGCCGTAGTGTGGTGGGCGGTCGCGAAGTGGTGCGACGCCTGCACACGGTGAACGATCGCTGGCGAGAAATCCTCGAAGAGCGACGCGGCCGGCTATCGAAGGTGCTCCGCGAGGGGCTGCTTGGTGAAGACCAGCAGATGTGCGCGAATAGCTGCCAGGCGGTGCTCTGGTTTCGCGAGTACGATCTGATCGGCCCACTGCTGAACGCCGTGGAAGACCGCACTCATCCGCAATCGACAATGATCTGCGAAACGCTGGTCTCGATGTCAGACCTTCTCTACGAGGAAGTAACTGCGCCGCGAGACTACAACGATCGACGCGACCCCCAGCTTGTCGCCCGCAACTTTGTCACGGTGGTTGAGAAATCCATCGGGCGATTCTCACAGCATAAACGTACCGAAGTGATCGAAAGCTTCTTGGTGCTGGCCAAGCGAGACAACCCGCAACTGAAACTGATTCTGCAAGATCCGCACAACCAGGCGTATCTCGCGGTGATCGACACTCTTTCGCACAGTCGACGCCCCGGGGTGATCAATCTTCTACTCAGTCTGCTGGAAGACCCGCGCCCACCGTTAGCAGCCATTCAAATCGTGGCCAAACGATCCGACCCTCGGTTTGTGCATCAACTTTTGCGCAGCATCGGCGAGCAACCTTCGGAGAATGCGGCCCGAAACCTGAAACGCGCGGAAGCAATTGCTTGGGCTTCACCGGGAGCCGGCGTTCTGGCTAAGCTGGATGACAAGCTTCAACGCAGTGCCGTCCAAGTGGTCATGGCCTCGGGAATGCCCCGACTGCAGGCGTTCAAGACCATTAAGTATCTGTTGCAGCACGGCAAGCCTGGTGGGCGGCAATCGGCGACCGAGGCCCTGGCTGACTTCCAGGGAGCAGAGGCCAACGCACTGGTGCAAAAGGCCGTGAACGACAAAGACCCAGAGGTGCAGGCCCGGGCATTGTCGCAGCTCCGGCAGCGAGGCACTGCGGGGGCTCTTCCGTTGTTGATTGAACGGCTCGACAGCCCGCATGAAGCGGTACGAGAAGCCGCTCGAGGCAGCCTGACCGAATTCAGCTTCTCGAGATACCTGGCCGGGTTCGAAACGCTGGACGACGAAGTGCGGGAAAGCACCGGTCGCCTGGTAAAGAAGGTCGACCCGAAGTCGAGCGAGTTGCTCCAAGCAGAGCTGACCTCCAAAGTTCGTTCGCGTCGCCTGCGAGGGCTGGCGATGGCCGCCGCGATGGATATGGCGGCAGAACTCCAAGAGACACTCGTCGAACTTCTGCAAGACGAAGATCACATGGTTCGGCAAGAGGCCGTTCACCTGCTGGGCACGCAAAACAACGCCACGGCCCGCAAAGCGATTGAACAGGCTTTGGAAGACTCGAGCCTGATGGTGCGAGAAGTGGCCGCGGCCGCACTTGAAGAACTGAATGCGGAAGGTGGCGCCCCTGCCCCACCCGCGAATGAAGAAACGGGGGCCGACCATGCGTGAGGCAATCGAACACAGCCTGCTGCTGGCGCAAATGGAGCTATTCCGAAACCTGGGAGCAGGTTTCCGAGGACGCGCGGCCCACTTTGGTGCCAGTGACCTCATCACGATCATCCTTGTCGTGGCTTCATTGGCCCTCGGCATGTACTTGCTGTCGCGAATGATGCACCGACAAGAGGTCCCGCAGCGTTCGAACAGCCCGCGGGTATTGTTCCGAGAACTATGCCTGGCCCATGGCCTGGATCGTAGCAGCCGTCGGTTGCTGCGTCAGATTGGTCGTTATCAGCGGCTAGATCATCTTGGCCGGCTGTTTGTCGAACCCGAGCGATTTGATCCCGGGAATCTATGCCCCAAGCTTCGTAGAAAGCAGGAACTTCTGCTGGCGCTTCGCGAACAGCTCTTCGGCGAACTCACGGCCGAAGGACCAGAGAGTTCCACAAAGCCGGCGAGAAAGTCTTCACAAAAGAGCGAGGTAAAACGACCCGCAGGTCGAACCTCGATCTCTCCGGTGGTCTCGAGCGATGGGGCGCTCTCGGCCGACACGCCAACGAACGTCTAGTGTCGGTCTACTGTTCCGCCGGCACTTCTTCGTCGTAAGCACTGCTGGGCTCATTCGGATCGCGTTCGACCTCGGGCTGAATCGTGCGAGCACGTGGAACCCGATCCATGAAGGATCCCGAGGGTCGACCACGAGAAACGTTGGGGAACCCATCCGGCAGATCAACCGGATACTGTCCGCCAGGAGTTTCGCCGAACCGGAACACACGGCGGGGGTTCGTGAAGCCGATGTGATCGAGGAATACATCCAGCTTGATCTCATCGATGCCCAACTCTTTCGCTCGTTTTTGAATGGCCGAAAAGCCGGCCAAGTCACCCTCGGGTTGAGAACCGAGTACCAGGAATCGGGTATCTGGGGTCATCTCACCTTCGATCTCGCCTGCTTCATTCAACTCGGCGTCGACTATCCCGCCACTGCGGGTGATTAGATTGCGAACGATGTGGCGATCGTCACGCGTGTCATCGTCCAAGTCCATGAAACCGGCCAACGCGAATCGCTCGGCACGGCCCGGCGTCCACACGGGCGTGTAGATCAGGTCGCCCATCAAAATTGGGTCGGTGATGTCATCTTCCAGAATGCGAGCTTCGGCCAAGTGATCGTCGAGAATACTGATCACTTCAATCTTACCCTTGCTCGGCGGATCGGCCACATCGGCCGCATCGGCGGAATAGACGCTGAACGTGGTTTGCCGCTTCAGCAAGTCGGCCCGACCAATGGTGAGCCACACGGTGCCGGTGTGTTGATTTACCCGGGCGATCTTTCCGTCGGCAACTTTGAACACAGGATCTAGCAACTGATCTCGCTGTTCTTTCAAACGATCTTTAACCAGATTGTTCTCTCGCAAATCGCTCGTGAGACGTTCGATGTCGGCAGCGGCCTGGGCGGTCGACTCGTCGAGGTTTTGCTGCAACTGCTGCTTTGTGGCGAGCAACTGTTCGCCGTCCCGTTTCATTTGATTGCGCAACTCGTTGAAGTTGGCTCGTTCCTGGGCCAAATCGGTGGTCGACTTTTGAGCCGAGTCTTGATGCGTTTGGATTTGCTGGTTCTTGTCCTTCTCTGCTTGTTCGATGCGACGGTTCAGGTTTTCAACCTTCTCGATTTCTGCAGCCAGATTCGTATCGTTCTGCTGCATCACGTCGCTCATGTAAACCAATGCATCGCGATAGCGCCGCTTGTCTTCGGGGAAGGCGCTCATGTACTTCTCGACGTCTTCGTTGTAGTTCGCTTGAACGGCATCGATATCCTGCCCTGGGTTCAAGCCGATGAAGTCTTTCAGCTTGTTGTTGGCGTCGAGCGTGCGACTGTTGGCAGACTGAAACTCGTTCGCCCGTTCAAGGTTTGCCTGGGCTTCGAGCGAGGCTTGTTCGTAACTACGAAAAAACAGGAAGGTCGTCACGCTGAGGACCAAAGTCAAAATGACAAAGATGATCAACGCAATTTGCAGGCCCTGATTGTCGCTACTGGCCATCGTTATCCTCTCCGAAGATCATGGTTGAGGCGACATCGTCTCAGCGACGCCGCCCGCCATGGTTACGAATCGCACTGTGTTCTGTTCCGTCGAGAAGTACCGGGGTCGATTGTCGGTGGGGGACACGCTTCGCCAAGAGACCCCAAGAGGAGCATTCCCCGGACCGGGAACCCCTCGCGAATGGGTGGCGTTCGTGCTAAGTTGCTTCGAGACAACGACCTTCGTCGATCGTAAATGGGCTCCGGGGAAGTGTCAACGAATTTCCCAGCCAACAATTCGCAAAAACGGCCGTCGGGGGCGTACAACTCCTTCGATCCGTCCTGTGTGGGCGGTTCTCGCTTCTACTAACTCACGTCGCAAGTGTTTATTCTAAGCCGGATTGAAGCCAGCGGGTGGAGCTCAGAAGAGGCACGTCGCGCGGGTTTTCGTGTCTGACACCGGGCCCAGCCCGATTGAGGCGGCAGCACGGGTTGTTCGGATCGCAACGGAATTCACTGCATGATGTTCTCGGATTCTCGACTTTGGGTGCGTCTTTAATGGCCAAGAAATCTCAACAGCGATCGTTGTTCCCCACAGAGGAAGACCCGGCCGAGGCCGCCCCGCCCGAGCAAGAAGAATCAGCCCCAAAGCAGGCCGCGAAAGCCGCCCCTCCGGTTCCCAGCTCGACGGACACGACAGAACCGGTCGACCTGAAGGACAAGACGGTTTATGTGATCGACTCGAACTCGCTCATCTTTCAGGTCTTTCATGCCATCCCCGAGATGACCAGCCCCGGGGGCGGCCCCGTGAATGCGGTGTACGGCTTCAGCCGCGATCTGCTGTACATGCTCGAGCAGAAGCGTCCGGACTACATCTTCGCCGCCTTCGACTTGAAGGGCCCCACGTTTCGCAGTGAGCTGTTCGAAGACTACAAGAAAGATCGCGCGGAGATGCCCAACGATCTCATTCCTCAGTTCCCGATCATCCATCGGGTGCTGGAGGCCCTGGGCATCCCGATATTGGGTGTAGAGACTTTTGAAGCCGATGACATCTTGGCCACTGTCGCGCGACTTGCCGAAGAGGACGGCGGTTCGTGCGTGTTGGTGACCGGCGACAAAGACTGCCGACAGCTCATCACGAAAAAGGTCTCCGTCTACAACATCCGCAAAGACCTGATGTACGGCGCCGAAGAGTTGAAACAGGACTGGGGAATCCGCCCCGATCAGGTTGTCGACTTTCAGGCCCTGGTCGGCGACAAGATCGACAACGTGCCCGGGGTTCCGCTAATTGGGCCAAAGATCGCCGCCGAGTTGCTCAACCAGTTCGGCACGCTGGACGAGGTTCTGGAGAACACCGACAAGGTGAAAGGTGCCAAGCGCAGTCAGAACCTGCGCGAGGGTCGTGATGTGGCCTTACTGAGTCGTCAATTGGTGAAGTTGGACGACAACGTACCGCTCGAAATCAATTGGTCAAAGGCGAAAGCCGGGCAGATTGACCGCGTGGCCGCCGGTGATCTTTTCAACGAGTTGGGGTTCCGCACGTTCACAGCTCAAATGCGCGACGGTGACGACACTGCGGAGAGCGCGACCTGGGAAACGGACTATCGCTTGGTGGCAACTCCGGCTGAACTGGCCGAGCTAGTGGAAAAGCTCGAACAGCAAGAGCTGATCTCGATCGACACCGAGACCACGAATGTGTGGCCCACCTGGGCCGAGTTGGTCGGCATCTCCTGTGCGTTTCGACCGGGCGAGGCCTACTATCTGCCGCTACGCTGCCCGCCCGGCGATCCTTGCCTTGACCAGGAAGCCACGCTTGATGCCTTACGTGATGTGCTCGAGGACCCTCGGATAAGAAAGCTTGGCCAAAACCTCAAGTACGACATGATCGTGCTCAGGCGGGCCGGGGTTCGGTTGGCGGGGGTTGACTTCGACACGATGATCGCCAGCTATCTGCTCGAAGCAGGCCAACGCAACCACAACCTCGACGACATGGCGTTGCGGTACCTGAACCACACCAACACCAAGATCTCTGCGCTGATCGGCACCGGAAAAAACCAGAAGCGGATGGATGAAGTGCCGGTGGCCGACGTAACGCCCTACGCCTGCGAAGACGTCGATGTGCCGATGCGGTTGCTTCCGATCTTGGAAAAGGAACTCGAATCACAGAACCTCGACACACTGTTCCGAGAGACCGAGTTACCGCTGCTCGATGTCCTGGTGGAGATGGAATCCAACGGGATACTCGTCGACACCAAGCGGCTGGCCGAACTGAGTGAAGAATACGGCCGACGGCTCGACAGCTTGGAACAAGAAATCTACTCCCTGGCTGGCCGCGAATTGAACATCGCTTCGCCCAAACAACTCCAGCAGGTGCTGTTTGAAGAGTTGAACCTGCCGGTGGTGAAGCGAACCAAGACCGGACCGAGTACCGATAGTAGCGTGTTGGAAGAACTGGCCCAGCATCACCCCCTGCCGGCCAAGATCATCGAATTCCGCCAGTTCGCCAAACTGAAGAACACCTACGTCGACGCGCTCCCCAACATGGTCAACGCACAGACGGGTCGCGTGCACGCCTCATTTAACCAGGTTGTGGCCGCCACCGGCCGGCTGAGTTGCGTGGACCCTAATCTGCAAAACATCCCAGTCCGCAACGACCGGGGGCGCGAGATTCGCTCGGCGTTTCGCCCCCGCGACGATTGGCAGCTTTTAGCTGCAGATTATTCCCAGATCGAACTAAGAGTGCTGGCACATTTCTCGGGTGACGAGACGCTACTGGAAGCCTTCGCCAACGAGGAAGACATCCACACCCGAGTAGCCAGCGAGGTTTACGGTGTCTCGCTCGACGAAGTGACCCCCGAGATGCGGCGCGGGGCCAAGGCGGTGAACTTCGGAGTGATCTACGGCCAAAGCCCCTTCGGCCTGGCCAAGCAACTGGGAATCAGTCAGGACGAGGCGGCCGAATTCATCGATGCATATTTCGAGGGATATCCCGGGGTAGAGGAATTTCTATCGAATCTACTGGCAGAATGTAGGGCCACAGGTTATGTTAAAACCATCCTAGGGCGGCGGCGTTCCATCCAAGGAGTTCGTGCCGATGCGGGTCGTTCGCGTAATCTAGCTGAGCGAACCGCCATCAATACCGTGATTCAGGGCTCGGCAGCCGATCTTATCAAACGGGCCATGATCGCAGTGTTTGACCGTCTCCAGGCGGAACGGATGTCCGCAAAAATGCTTTTACAAATCCACGACGAGCTGGTCTTCGAGATTCCCACCGAGCAGTTGCAGGCAACTTCGCAGTTAGTCACCGATGAGATGGTCGGTGTCATGAGTCTCGATGTGCCGCTTAAAGTCGACGTCAAATCGGGGCTCAACTGGGCCGATCTCGATTAGCTCACGTCGAACCCACCAAAAAATACCGGAACAATTGTCTCCCAGACGCCCCCTGCGTCTAAGGCGGGCGGCTGCGGAAAAGTAGTCACACAAGGGCTCGTTCGATCCACTTGCTCGCCTAAAGGTCGCCGGCGCGCTTCCAAGCGTCCCACCCGCGGATGGTCTCGCATGAAGGTCATCGGAATCCTCGGCGGAATTGCCAGCGGCAAGAGCGCAGTGGCCGAATGCTTCCAAGAACTTGGCGCTGGAGTGCTCGATGCCGATCGGGCGGGGCACGAAGTGCTCAAGCTCGGCGAAGTGCAGGAAGCCATCGGCCAACGCTGGGGCGAGGAAGTGTTCGCGCCCGATGGCTCGGTCGATCGTACGAAGCTAGCACAAATCGTATTCCAATCTTCCCCACAGGGCGCGGAAGACCTGGCATTCCTCGAACAACTAACCCATCCTCGCATTGGCGAATTGCTAGGGCAGCAATCGGCCGAATTCGCTCAACAGGGCGTGCCGGCCATCGTGCTCGATGCCCCAGTCATGCTGAAGGCGGGCATGGAAAAAATGTGTGATGCCATCGTCTTCGTCGACGCCACCCGCGAGGTGCGAGCCCAACGGGCTATGCAGCGAGGCTGGACGATGGAGGAGTTCGCCGCACGAGAACAAGCACAAGAATCGTTGGATACAAAACGCCAGCAAGCAGACTGCGTGATCGAAAACTCCGGGTCACTGGAATCGACGAAAGAACAGGTAAGACAGTTTTGGAGGGAATTGTTTCCAGCGTGAAATTGGTCCCCGGAAGATACACATCGCACAAGTAGCAAGAGGAACTAGGCCCCGACAACTGTAAGAACAATTTAGACCCAGGAGCCCGGTTCTTGCGGTGTTGGGTTAGACGCAAAGGAAATTTGAGTTCTGGTTTCAGTCTGAAACGAGGCTCACCTGTATGAAGCTCGGCAGTGCTGTTCCCCGCAAAGGAGCCACTTCCATCCCATCCCGTATCGGTTTCAAAACCACAACACCCCATCCCACCGCCAATGCCCTCTGTGCGTTGGCCATCGATGCTCTTCAGGAGTTTGTCAGCCATGGCAAGCGGCAGAGGCACTAGAACGAAAACGCAGCCGAAAAAAGAAGACGACGAAGTTCTCGATCGTCAGGATGCGGAATTGAACAACTCAGACACGGATGATGACGAGCCGCTCTCACTGGCCGAGGAACTGGCCAACGAGGCTGCCAGTGGCCGAGAGAAATCAAGCGACCGCTACGAAATGGTCAAGCAAGGCGATGTTCACATCGCCGAACTTCAACGAATGACCATGCCGGAGCTGATCGATCAGGCCCGCAAAGAGAATCTGGCCGAAATCTCGGGGATCAAGAAGCAGGACCTGATCTTCAAGATTTTGAAGGAACGGGTGAAGCTCAACGGGCTGATGTTCGGTGAGGGCACCCTGGAGATCCTGCCAGACGGGTTCGGATTCCTCCGCAGCCCCGACTATCACTACCTCTCCTGCCCGGACGACATTTACGTCTCCCCGAGCCAGATTCGACGGTTCGGCCTTCGCACGGGGGCGACTGTTTCTGGACAGATTCGGCCTCCTAAAGAGAACGAACGCTACTTCGCTCTACTTCGGGTCGAGGCGATCAACTACCAAGACCCCAACCTGCTGGCCAACAAAGTCTTCTTCGACGACCTCACGCCGCTGCATCCCGATGGCCGAATCGTGCTCGAGCACGACCCCAAGGAGATCAGCATGAGGGTGGTCGATCTGATTGCCCCCATTGGGTTCGGACAGCGCGGGTTGATCGTCAGCCCTCCGCGGGCCGGTAAGACCATCCTGCTGCAGAAGATGGCCCAGGCCGTGCAGGCCAACTACCCGGACTCGTACGTCATCATGCTGTTGATCGACGAACGGCCCGAGGAAGTGACCGACATGGAGCGCAACGTTCGTGGTCGCAATGCCGAGGTGATCAGTTCAACATTCGATGAGCCGGCTGCCCGACATCTTCAGGTGTCGGAAATGGTGATCGAGAAGGCGAAGCGAATGGTCGAGTACGGAATCGACGTGGTGATCTTCCTCGATTCGATTACCCGGCTCGCCCGTGCCTGGAACTCCGAGGTTCCGCACTCCGGCAAGATCCTTTCCGGCGGTGTGGATGCAAATGCCCTGCAGAAGCCCAAGCGATTCTTTGGCGCGGCCCGCAAGGTGGAAGAAGGCGGTTCACTGACCATCATCGCCACCGCGTTGGTCGACACCGGTAGTAAGATGGACGAGGTGATTTTCGAAGAGTTCAAAGGGACGGGCAACCTGGAAATCTGCCTCGACCGCAAGCTGGTCGACAAGCGAATCTGGCCCGCCATCGACATCAACAGCAGCGGCACCCGACGCGAAGAAATGTTGATGGACCCCGAGGAACACCGCCGGATTTGTATTCTCCGTCGCGTGCTCAACGATATGGGACCCGTGGATGCCATGGAGTTGCTCACCACGCGGCTCTCGAAAACCAAGAGCAACGCAGAGTTCCTGATGAGCATGAAATCGTAGGCAAATACCTTCTTTTAAGTTTTATTCGGGCGGGGAGTCGTCGCGTGGTATCGGAACTCGAGGGTGAATGTCGGGCATCGGCGAATGATCGGTTCGCGATTGTGGTGGCCCGTTACAACGAGAACATCACACGGAAGCTGCTCGATGGGGCGCTCGAAGTTCTGCAAAAGACCGGAGTCAGCGACGATCGCATCCTGGTTTCTTGGGTTCCAGGAGCATTTGAAATCCCCTCGATCGCCGGCCACTTGGTTCGGAGTGGTCAGTACGCTGCGGTGATCTGCCTCGGAGCGGTGATTCGCGGCGAAACCACCCACGATCAGCACATCAACAGTTCGATTAGCCAGGCCATGGCCGACCTGGGCACCACGAGCGGGGTACCGGTGTTATTTGGTGTTTTGACCTGCGAGAACCTCGAACAGGCGATCCATCGCTCTGGTGGCAACGTAGGAAACAAGGGCGCGGAATGTGCCGAGGCCGCGTTGCAAATGGTCGACCTGATTGCCAAGCTCCCCGCCTGAGGTGGGTGCGACTGCAGGGGCGATTCGGTGCAAGCTGAGCACTTTTCTGTTGCCTGAGCAACAGCCTCTGGGACCATTCGTGCCGTAACCCCCACTGTCACTAAACCGCAGTATTGCTCTACAATTAGTCAAAAGCATTACCCCGGTTGTCCCACGGGTGCTGAGGTTTTGGTGTTGGGGACGAATTCAAGGCTAGGAACCGCTCGAAGAGATGGCAAATCGAAGTCGTGCAAGAGAAGTGGCGTTGCAGGTCCTGTATCAGGACGACTTTCGCTCGGAACCCGATCCCGGTGAAGACGAGTCGTTTTTGCATGCGCGGCTGTCGAACGACGAGTTAGTTGTATTCGCCCGCAGCCTAGTGAATGGGGTTCGGCGGAATCGCGGAGAGATCGATGCCGAACTCTCTCAGAAAGCCGACAACTGGTCGCTGCACCGGATGGCTGCCACCGACCGCAACGTATTGCGGCTGGGAGCATTCGAGATACTGTATTCCGATACGCCTAATCGGGTCGCCATCAATGAAGCCATCGAACTGGCCAAACGGTTCGGAAGCGCTCAGTCGGCCCAGTTCGTCAACGGCGTGTTAGACCGGTTGCTCGGCGAGAAGCCTTAGGGATTTCTCCATATCGAGCACGGTCACTGGCCAAGATTCAACCGCTGGACAAAGCAAGGAAATCACCCTTATGGGGCTTTTCGATAAATTCAAGCAGGGTCTCAAGAAGACAAACCGTCTGCTGAACACCGACATTCGCGACTTATTCAAGTCCGAGTCTGAAGGTCGGCTGATTGATGACGAGTTCCTCGACGAACTGCTGGAGCGATTGGTCAAGACCGACATGGGCGTTCAGCCCGCCATGGATACCACCGAACAAATCCGAAAAGACTTTCGGGCGCGTGTGGTGAAGATGGATGACATGGTGGCCGTGATCAAGACCAAGCTCAAGGAGTTGATGGCCCAGGAGAGCGCCCCAATTCAGACGGTCGAGCAAGGCCCAACCGTGATTATGGTTGTGGGCGTAAATGGCTCAGGAAAGACCACCTCGATCGCCAAGTTGACCAAGATGTTTATCGACGACAAGAAGTCGGTCGTTCTCGGGGCAGCAGATACCTTTCGGGCCGCCGCCGTTCAACAACTCACGATTTGGGCCGAACGCCTGGGAGCGACCATTGTTACCGGCGAGACCGGAAGCGACCCTGCCAGTGTTGCCCATCGTGCAGTGGCAAAGGCTGTCGAAATTGGGGCCGACATCTGTATTGTCGACACCGCGGGCCGATTGCAGACTCAACAGAGTCTGATGAATGAATTATCGAAGCTGCACCGGGTGATGGCAAAGCAGATCCCCGAGGCGCCGCACGAAGTCTTACTAGTGCTGGACTCCACGACCGGCCAAAACGGCATTAGCCAGGCAAAACACTTCACCGAAGCCGTAAACTGTACGGGCATCGTGCTGGCCAAGCTCGATGGTACCGCGAAAGGTGGAGTCGTGGTCGCCATTCGTCAAGGCGTAGGCTTGCCGGTGAAATACATCGGAGTGGGTGAAAAAGCCGAAGACCTGGCTCTGTTCGACGCCGATGCCTTCGTCGATGCCCTGTTTGACGAAATAACCGGCAAAGATTCTGAAGAGTAGGCTTCGGCTTCATTGTGTTTCTGGCTGAGCACGGAATGTGTGTCGCCAGCGGGTAAGAAGAAACCTCATTCACATCGCCCCTAAGCATTCAAAGTCCTGCTTGGCCATTTTTGCCTAAGAAAACCGCCACTTCTGGCGGTACGGCGCCGCCCTAAGTCCTTTCGCTGTCTATCGCGGTGCAACCTTTCCTCTGTCTGCGTGGCCATTCTGCGCGCCCGCAGAGTTTATCTAACCGGACTTCCTGCCGATCTGCTCGGAAATGTCGGCGGGAGCTTCTTGCGACAGACTTTTCGCCACCGTCAGAGTTTGCCACGGAAGCCCCTTTCGCGTGCCCTGCGTGGTGAGATCGGGCGTTTTGCGGTGAATTGCGTTTCGATAGCAGGACGATACGCACTGTGGATCGAGATATGACTATCTCGTGCAACAGTCGCTGTTCCCACAGCCAGTCGTAAAGACCAGGCGGCGCTGGCTGAAGGGTGAGGAACGACGGAATCCCGCATTACAGTTTGTCCATGGAGAGTCGGACGATGAAAACACGGATCACTTGCGTCGCGATCGCCATCGCCACGTGCTGTGCCGGGCCTGCTTTTGCGCAGGGTCGGGTAACGGCGGGGTTGGAAGGCTCGGTGCCTTCGACGCCTGCGGCGTATGAGTACGAAAGCTACTACGCCAACGAAGAAACGGCTGAGTCGAACACCAGCAACACCAACACCTCGCAAGCCATTGCCAACTACGGCAGCTCTGCCTGCTGCGGTTCGGCCTGTGGCTCTTGCTGCGATCCTTGCGGATCGTCGTGCTGCGACCCCTGCAGCAGCTGCTGCGATCCTTGCAGCTCGTGCTGCGACAGCTGCTGCGGCTGCGGTGGAGAAGCCTTCTCCCTGCGTAGCGCGCTGTTGGGCGACGACTCGTGGCTCGACTTCGGCGGTTGGACCCAAGTGGGTTACACCACCGAATCGACCGCCATCGGCAACGCCGGTGCCTTCAACACGCACCCCGACGCCGTGCGTTTGCACCAGCAATGGCTCTATGTCGGTCACGAAGCCGACGGTAGCGCCGGCCTCGACTTCGGTTTCTGGTTCGACGCCATCTACGGTGTTGATGCCCAGGACACCCAAGCCTTCGGCAACAACCCGGGCGTTTACGACTTCCAAAACGGCCTGGATCACGGTATCTACGGTTACGCTTTCCCGCAGCTCTACGGTGAAGTGGCCGTGGGCGACCTGTCGGTGAAGATTGGTCACTTCTACACCATCATCGGTTACGAAGTGGTGCAGGCGACCGGCAACTTCTTCTTCAGCCACGCCTGGACGATGTACAACTCTGAGCCGTTTACGCACACCGGTGCTTTGGCCACCTACGCCCTGAACGACGCGGTGACCCTGTACGGTGGTTGGACCCTGGGTTGGGACACTGGTTTCGATCAGGTCAACCAAGGTAACAACTTCCTCGGTGGTATCGGCCTGCAACTGACCGACGCCATCAACTTCACCTACGCCACCACCGCCGGTAACTTCGGCGATCGCTCGGCTGGCTTCGACGGCTACATGCAGAGCCTGGTGTTCAACGTGAACGTGACCGACAACCTGAACTACATCCTGCAGAGCGACTTGCTGCGGATTGATGGAACGGGCGAAGATGACCTCGGTATCAACCAATACCTGATCTACAGCCTCAACGATGCCGTGGGTGTTGGTGGACGTATGGAATGGTGGAAGGACGATGGTACTTCCTACTACAACCTGACCGGTGGTCTGAACGTGCGTCCGATCGCCAACATGGTGTTCCGTCCTGAAGTTCGTCACAACTGGGTCCCCGGTTTGGACCTGCAAGAGACGATCTTCGGTGTCGACACGGTGTTGACCTACTAAGTGCGAACGAAGCCGGCGGTTCGCCGAGTAGCCATCTCCCCCATGGCCTCGGCGGACCGGCCGAGAATTGCGACCCCGACTTCCCCTCGCAGGGTGTCTGAGACCGCGGCGAGCCCTCACCAGCCCCACCTCGGCTAACCGCTCTCAGACGCCCTGTTAACGGGGCCGCGAAACCACCACCGCCGCCAGCCCCAACGCCGGCGCAAAACAACGTACGACACTCCCCAATCCGTCTCCCGCGAGCCACCCCCCGGCACGCGGGAGATTTTTTTGTTGGGGCTGCGTGAGATGAAACCTCACCGATAAAAAGAAAACGCCTTGGCAATCCGAAGCTGGATCGCCAAGGCGTTTCTGATTTTAGAAGTCTTCTCCAGAAGACCTGTAAGTTAAAACTAGTTAAGAGGGCTCGTGTTGGTCTCGCCACCCTGGATGGTGGAGAGGGCACGATAGGTCGGCAGATCGATACCGTCCTGGATGAACTTGACCGCTCCGTCGCCGAACAGGAAGTTACCACCCCCAGGGTGATCGCTACGGAAATTACTGGTGGCATGGTTGCTATCGACCGATTGTCCCGGACCATCGCCATCCCAATCCATACTCGGCTGACAGCTGAGCATGGCAGTGGCAATATCAATCACGCCCGTGGCGTTCACCCCGATGACCGTATGAGTCACGGGACGGGTGTTGAGCCGCTCAAGCGTGCAACCAAAAGGAGAGCCAATCAAAGCTGGCGGATCGTTCTCGGCTGCGATCAAGACGCTCGGAGTCATCCACCAAGCCTGGTAAATCGGGTAGGGACGCGAGGGATCGTCAAGATGCGCTGGGGCAATCGTCGGGCTCGTCTGGCAGGTGTCATCTTCGATCCGCATTAGAGACGATCCGCCGTAGCGATCGCCTGCGTTGGTGTTACAAATGCCCCAAGAACGACCCTGGGCACCTTCGCCAGCGGCAAAAGTGTTGCTCAATCCATCTTTAACCGTCGCGGGCTTACAAACGAATTCGATTCCGGGTAGCGGAATAAGCTCTGCCGCCCTGGCCGGACCGGTAATGTCAAACATCCCTCGCTCACGCTGCGCCCACGGCACGGGGTTCAGTCCGCCACCGGAAGCTGCGTCGAGGTAGGGTTGCAATCCATCGTAGCTTAAAGCCAAACCATTGCTGAGGCACCAAGCGTCACTGACTCCTTTGCAGAGCAGGTAATCACCTAAGGAGAACTCTAAACCGACGGTATTGATAATGTCGTCTGCGTCAGCAAGATCGCCAAGGCTATCCAGCAGGGAGACAAAGAACGAATCGGTCACGGGATTGTCTTTGTCAGAGTTTGAAGGGCAAATGAACCCCGGCACGACGGAGGTATAAATTGGATTGGGTTGCCCACCAACATTTGGCTGATCGTACCAAGCACGGTTTTGATCCCACACTTCGGTGATCTGCTGTTGTTCCATGTAGGGCAACAGGCAAGCGAAGCCATTGTTAAAGAAGAGATCGCCATTGAATGCGTCATCAATATTTCCGGCGGCCCCTTCCTCGGCATCGTACGACAAGGCAATGATGCCCGGTGGGAACGTGCCCGTGGCAGCCAAGTAGTTGTGCATGGCGATGCCAATCTGCTTCATGTTGCTCTGGCAGTTCATACGGCGGGCCGCTTCTCGGGCCACCTGAACTGCTGGAAGCAGCAGGGCAATCAAAATGCCGATGATGGCGATGACCACCAACAGCTCGACGAGCGTAAAGCCCGACTTCCGCGGTCGCGATTTCATGATTTTGGTACCTCTTCTCGGCGAATGAAAGAAAAAAGTGCAGCCAGCGGCAAACGAACTACTCCACAGTCTCTCCTGTCGATCGGTACGGGCAAGTACCCCACTCAGCCGCAATCGTTGACAGGCAAAAGAACTGAATAGCCCCTTCGAAGCTGTGGTCTCCGCCCACGTAGCCGGCAGAATACCGGTGCACGAGACGTAACTATATGAGACGTGCCTCCACACCGGAGTTTATCGTAACTCACTTTGGTGTCAAGGAATTTTCAAGTCTCATATACCGCACTTCCCAGGCAATCTAGGGGCTATTATGACTCGAGCCGTATCCCAAGCCAAGCAAACTGCACTGCCAGGCTGGAAGTAGTTGTCGAGGGGCTGCCCGAGACGTACGATGCGTCAATTCAAGGGCACGAGCACACCACGTCAACCCATTTACCCACCTTGTGAGGGAGAGACTTTTCATGGCGACGACCGATCCGACAAAAATCCTCCATGCAGAAACATCTTCGGACGCCGACGAAAAGCAGCGGATCATCGAGTTAGCGAACACCCCCGAGGCCCGCGAAGAGCGAGTGAAGCTCGCGGCGGCCTATCGGCTGATCGCCCGAAGGGGGCTCGACGACGGGATCGCCGGGCATATCAGCCTGCGGGTTCCCGGGGCTCCGAATTATTTTTGGGTGAACCCTTTCGGCAAGCTTTTCCGTGAGGTGACTGCAGAAAACCTCGTACTGGTTAACGAGGCGGGGGAGATCATCGACGGTGGCGAGCAAATCAACTTTGCTGGCTTCTGCATTCACTCGGCCATCCATCAGGCGCGACCCGATGTGAACTGCGCTGTCCACACGCACCCTCCGGCCGGCTCGGCCTACAGCGCATTGAAGATTCCGCTGGAGCCTTTGGATCAGACGGGCTGCTCCTTCTACGAAGACCATGCCGTGTACTCGAACTACACGGGCATCGTCGTCGACGAGAACCAGGCAAACGAAATCGTCGAAGCCTTGGGCGATCGCCGAGCCTTGATTCTGGCAAATCATGGACTTCTGACTGCGGCGAAGACCGTCGAACAAGCGTTGATCGACATGCTGGATATGGAACGCACCTGCGAAGTAAATCTGTTGGCCATGTCCTCAGGGAAACCTCTCCATCCGGTGCCGGGTGAAGTTGCCATGCAGTCGCGGTTCATCCTTTCGCAAGAAATGCGGTACCCGTTCCAGTGGCAAGCGATGATTCGAGACTTGGATCAGCACGAAACCGATTACGACCCTTGGCGGTAGAACATTCGGACACCGAATGTCCCTGGTGCGATCGTTCGCCTCAATCGAATAGCAGATGGTCGGCTCGCATGATTTTTGATGGAAGATCATGCCGGTCGACTGGGTCCTTGCTATGTTGAGAGAACTATCTCACACCAGCAGACATCGCGAGTAGCAACATGCGCGATCAACCCGAGGACCACGGCATTCGTGCGACGATTGACGGACAGGACTTAAGCCTGTTCGTTGACTACGATCGCGATCGGCTTTCCAAGCTCAGCGACGAGGGAAAGCTCGAGTACTTCGAGCGACGCTTCGAGTTCGTCGTGCTGAACCCTTTGATGGCGATGCTTGATCGGAACGAAGCACCCTACCCGATGCTGCTGATTTGGGGCAACGCATTGATGTGCGCCATCGAAGCACTGGGGCACTTACTCACGCCGCCGGTGGCGACAAACTCTCAGGCATTTCAAGCCTATGTGACTTCGTTCATGGACGCCGGCTGGAGGGACCGTCCACAAAACCCGCCCCCGGGCGTAGATTATTACTGGCGTTGGCTGTGGGATTCGTTTCGCAACGGACTGACCCACGGAGCCTACGTAAAAAACGGCGGGTTCGAAAAACTGGGCGACCGGCTGTTCATAGAGACAAAAGGCGGGCTAAGAGTCGATGCCTGGGCCCTCGACATCGACTTCCGCAATGGGCTGAAGAAGATGCACCAAGCCATTCAGCAGCCCGACAATTATTTCCGCAAGACCTTCATCGACCGCTTCAATTGGACGTACATCCAGGGCGAGTCTTAGGCTTGGTCACCAGTTTCGCGAGCACTCAGTCCAACTCACCCAGCCAGATGCGAATGTCGTTCTCATATTCGCTGGCCAGGTTGCACATGATGAGTTGTCGATGGAAGCTTGCTGCGCCGTTCATCTCGGCCTCTTCGGCGCTGGCCACCCGACGCGTCGGATCAGGTGCCACCAGATTGCGACAAATATCAAGTAGTAGTTCGTTGCGAACCACGTCTTCCGGCAAAATGTCTACCAGCCGCTGAGGCAACAGGTGCTTGGCTTCGAGCAATTCGCCCAGCGTGTTCAAGTCTGCGAAAGGCTGAACCCCAGAGAGCATCTCCACCAGAACATAGCCCAAACTGGCCAAGTCGGACTGCGGTGTGTAGATGCGACGATCTAACACCTCGGGAGCCGCATAGGGGGGCGTGCAGGTGCGATTGTCGTGAGGGTTTTGCCATTCGCAGGCCGAACCGATATCGATAATCTTCGCGTTGCCCGTCCGCTTGAGCATGATGTTCGACGGTTTGATATCCCCGTGCACAATACCCTGACGATGCAAAGCGGCCAAGGCCGCCAGGCATTCACGAATCACTGCGATGGCAATCCCGGGCTTCAAACGAGCCTGCATCGGGCCCTGAGTCACCACCACGTTATTGATTTGATTCCACCGCTTTGTGCTCACTTGCCGCTTGACATATTGGAGCATCTCGATGGTAAGCAGCTGCGACAGGTCATATCCATCAATCCATTCCATCTCCATCATGCGGATACGGTTGCGGTCGATGAAATTCTGCACGTCCAGCAAGTTGTCCTGCTGGATTTGAGCAATTCGGGCGGCCACATGCGCGATGCGGCTCATCTCCTCGTCGTAGTGAGCCGGGCTCTTGTAGCGCTCGGGAGAGAAAATCTTCAGCGCCACTGGGACCGTGAATCGGTCGGCCCCGCGACGTTCTGTGAGGAATACAATGCCTTGCCCGCCCGAGCCCAAAAGGCGCGTTAGCCGGTGGTGCTCGGTCCAACTCAAACGCTGCCCTTCGAGCAGTGCCGTGTATCGGGCGTCGAGTTCGTTGGGGGCTCGCGGCGCTGCTTCCCCGTCCAACATCAACGTTGGCTTGCCGTAAGTCAGTGTTGTCGAAAACATCCGAGAGCCTTTGTGTGGTGCAATGCAGTTCCGCCCAAAGCCACTTATGGCACACCACCAGATTCTAGCGCCAAAGTAATCTTTCCGTCCAGGCGAAGCTCCATTTTATATCAGTGGAAGGGTTTTGCTTCCCCCCGAAAGACAGTCATGCTGGCACGCTGAGAAATCGTGCAAACAGACTGTCTACAGAATGCCGCACAATAGAGTGCAACCGGGGCACAAAGACCCCGCGAGTCGTGCCGCATCAGCCGCGATCGACATCGCCGGGATGTCGGACTGGAAACCCGAGCCGCTTATCGACGAGATTGAATAGCGGTTCGCCCGAAATCCAGCGGCGAAGGTTGCGACAAATCAAATCGGTCGCATCATCGAGTCGCCGAGCGCTCTGTCCGCCTACGTGTGGCGTGATGATTACGTTGGGAAGGTCCCATAATTTACTGTCTGTCGACAACGGCTCGACCTCAGTAACATCAAGCCCAGCACCACCAAGGTGACCGCTCTGCAAGGCTTCAACTAACGCACTCTCAACGACCAGCGGGCCACGTGCGACGTTAATGAGCAACGCGCCGGGCTTCATCCGGGACAACTTCTCTCGATCGATCATCCCTCGCGTCTGGTCGTTGAGTGGAGCGGTGAGGATCACAATGTCACTCTCGGCCAATAACTCGTCCAGGTTCTCGGCAGGCCACAGAGACTCGACACACGCCGGACAATCGAATGGAAAGTAGTCGGTTGCCAGAATGCGGACTTTCCATGGGCGAAGGACTTCGACCAGACGTCGGCCATTACCCCCTAACCCAACGATGCCGACCGTAGTGTGGTGCACATCGCGGGTTGGACGACGAACGAACTCGCGTTCGCGCTGGGCTGCGAAGAAAACCGGCAGGCTGCGAGCGAGGCCCATTAACAAGGCGAAGGTTTGCTCTGCAACCTGGTCTGCCAGGAGGCCTGAAGCACTGCAGACGACAATCTCCGAGTCGATGACCGAAGGCACCAGGCAATGATCCAACCCGGCCGCCGTGGATTGAATCCACTGCAAACGCCCCTGACGAACCACACGATCCCAATCCACCGGCACCTTGGCATGGCCACAAAAGATATCGGCATCGTGGATTTCTTCAGCAATGCGCTCCTGACCTGCGTCGACCACTTCTGCATGCGGTGATATGTCGGTGATCTGCTGGACGTGCCGAGCTTCGGCCGGATAACAAAGAACAATGCGCATAGGACCTTGCCTACTGGGAAGTCGTAAACAGAAACTCAGGGTGCTCAACTCAGCACCAAACTATCACCGACCGAGCAGTCTGCACATGCACTCTGTCCGGAGGAGTAAACCAAGGCGCAATCTCGGCAGAGGCCCCCCTGGCTGCTAGCAAGGAACGGCTCGCGGCCCGTTTCGGAAGATCCTCGACTGAATTTCACCCGGGAACCAACCTGCGGTGACTAGACTTTGTTAGACTCATGCCCCTTCATTAAGCGGCTCAAAAAGGTGAACCTCCAGGGCTGCGGGCGCGTCGTTAAGAGACGGCAATTTGGCGCGGCTCGGGTTTGGTTTCTCATTTTCGGAACGTGAATTCACGTTCTTAGGCGGACAGACGATGCGACAAAAATGGATTTCCTGGTGGCATCGTCCCGCAGGCGGGCGCGAGGTAATGGGGGTTGTCATCCCCCTGGTCATTTCGACGTGCTCCTGGACGGTGATGCACTTCATCGACCGGATGTTCCTCGTTTGGCACTCGCAGCAGGAATTGGCCGCTGCGCTGCCCGCGGCCATGGTGAGCTTCGTAGTAGTCTGCTTCTTTCTGGGGGTGGCCACCTACGTGA